ATCTTTATCAGTCAATACTTCTCAAAATAGTAACCATTTGTAATGTATTGTATCATCATTCTGTCATTTTAATATTACAAATGAACATTTGATAGTTTAGAGCTGAGAAAACATTTCACTAAATTATATTCTTCAAGGCAATGTGAATAGTCTACTAGTATTGTCTGTTAGGATTTATTAAAAAATAGTTTTTAAATCACATGAATTGTTTTAACATTAATAATAAATAGTACATAATAGTTTAAGATGCTATGCTGCCCATTAGAAGCCACAATCTCTGGTAAATTGATGAGTTAGGTACCTAATAAAACACACAAATCTCCGCCCTGTCTTCCAAGACTTGGCAAATGTATGCAAATGTGAAAAAATTGGACTGGAGGGAACAGTATGATTAAAGACTTAGTTTTTCTAACCAACTTTAATCCTGACTACGATGTTCCATGGTAACTTTTTATTCCTTTTACATTTTGAAGAGCAGCTTAATTTTTCAGATAGGTTACATTGGCCTTTGTCCACATGTTTTTTAAAAAGTATGTAATTGATTAATTCAACAATTAAACAATTTTTAAAAAATTATAATAATGATTTGGTCACTCAAACCATGTTTGTTGTGCGCAATTGGCTGCCACCTTTTTTCCACAAAATATACAATCAATTAATTTAGCAGTATATTCTGTGAAGCAATTTGAGATGTGTTAACAATGTGATAAGGCGCCATATCAAATGCAAGGATTATTATTATATTGTAATAAAGTGAATTATCTTGTAGATTGGTATGACTTCTATATTTCACAAGTTTTATGTACGCCATACATTTCCTTGAAGTATTTGCTTGATCACAAACACTTACCTTATACTAATAAAGACGTAATGTCTGTGTATCTGTCCGTCCGCCAAGAACTCGATAATCGATTGACATAGAGCAGGGGTGGGCAAAAGGCGGCCCGTGGGCCATATCAGGTCCGACAAATGATTCTATCCAGCCCGTCACTGTGTCTAGCAATAGAAAAAATTATAGTTTGTTCAGTCCCAGAAAGTCGCACAAATTTCGCGTTTGAATCCGACCGGGAACATCAGCCAATCACACTGCTTAGTTGTGCGCACGCTGCCTTAAGTGTTGAATCAGGCTGATGTCAGAAATGTACGGATTGGCAAATTTTCAAACACGCGTGTGCAGCAACCGCGGCAATACTTTTCACTGAAGAGGACGTTAATTTGAAATGAGTTTATCAAAGAAGCGGAAAGTGGACGCTGAAGGCCTGTATTATGCATGGAGCATGCATTATAGCTTGAAGTGAAAGGAAGCTGAAGTAAATGGGAATATCAGGATGAATTCAACACAAGATACTGGCACTCAATTATCTCTAACGGCTGGTGCCCTATTATCATGAACTCCAATCAAGAGTCCAGGCCTTGTTAGCTCCCTTTAACATAGGTTGATTGCCAATACCCATAAAAGGCAGTATCAGTCTTTATTTTCCTGTTGCACTGTCATTTATTGGGCTAGTTTCATACAGATAATCTTCCATTTTGTTTTAATGAGTTTTCCATTTATTAAGATGAGACCAATGTGTCTATAGTTTATAGGTATAGCTTTTTCACCTCTCTGGGAATATAACATCCACATTTGCTTTTTTCCAGTCTATTGGTTGAAATTCCGGTGGACAAATATTAAAAGAATTAATGTAATTTAGTTTTTGTTTTCCCGCCAGATCAGCTCCATGACTCTATCACCCCCACCCTTGCTTGGCTCCACTGGCTCCCCATCCCCCAGAGTTGAAAATCCTCACCCTCACCTTCAAAGCCCTCCACAACCTTGATCCTTCCTACCTCTGAGAACTGCTAATGCCTTATCGACCTGTCCGCTCCCTCTCCACAGCGGGGTCCGGCATGCTCCAAATCCCCCAGCCAGTTCGGCCCATCATCAGGCCTTCGCCTTGCTTCCTCCCTTTCCTTCTTCAAGGCATGCCTCAAGTTCCTCCTGTTCGACCGAACCTTCGGTCACCCTCCTAATCTACCCTCCCTGCTCTCCACTCTTCCTGATCTGGTTCAAATCCCTGACTGTCCAGCGCCTAGGGACATCTTCCTGACATGAAAGGTGCTATAGAAATGTAATTTGTTGTCCTTGCAGACATATCCTACTACAGTGACATTTCTGGAAACTGCTAACATTTCTGTCTATTATGTCCAATAATCCAAATAGAACGAGCACTTTTTGTATCAAAAACAGTGAAATATTTTAATGTGCTATATATTGCTCTTTCAACCAAACAGCTATATTGTTGAAGGTGTAAACTCTACAAGATTGTGATGAACAAATAAAGGATATTTTATATAAGGATTCATGGGAAATTATTTTTCGGAAACAAATGCACTTATCCAGTAATTTGTGAGCAGCAAACTCCTAGATGTCTTCACAATGTATTCTGTTTATTCTAGACATAAAAATATTTAATTAGTCCTGGACAAATGTGTTTATAGATGTGTTGAAATCTAAAATGACTCCAGAGAAGTTACGTTGAAATTCTGTTTCTGACAGATGGAGGAACTACATGTAATAAATTCACGTATTGTTTTATGTTGTTTGAGAACTACGGACGATGTGAATGCAACTGATCTGGCGGGAAAACAAAAACTAAATGACATTAATTATTTTAATATTTGTCCACTGGAATTTCAATCAAAAGACTGGAAACAAGTAAATGTGGATGTTTTATTCCAAGAGAGTTGAAAAAGGTACATCTGCCGACTATAGACACATTGGTCTGATCTTAATAAATGGAAAACTCATCTAAGCATACTGGAAGATTATCTGTATGAAAATAGCCCGTTCAAGTACTCAACAGGGGGCAGTGTTGTTCCATAAATCATTAACAGATGAAGTGAAGACGAGCGTTAGTTTATTCTGTAAATTCCATTAATTTATATTGATAAGATCAACACTGATTTATAGCTGACAAGTGTTTGTGCAAGCTATTTTTAACAAAAATTTGCTTTGAGTTGAGATCAGCTTACCTGCTTTACAATCAAAGTCAGCTCATCTCATTAAAAACAGTTCTTTGAAATTGTTGAGTTCCCTGACTACCTTAAAGACCTTTCTCTTCGACCATATCTATGGTCATCTCCCTTCTTTCCTCGATTGGGTGATAACTATGCAAAAGTGTCTCCAAAACACTTTTGTGATAATTGGGCACCAGCCCTCAAGGATAAGGCTGGGGGCTTGGGAGTGTGAGAGGAAAGTCTGGAGAAGATGGATGTACCCTTGTTAAAATAAACCTTTTTTGGGGTGTGACCCACACCCTCTTACAGACAGCTTGGAGAGAACTTGGAGTCCAGATAACTTTATTACTTGTGTCCTTTAGGAAACCGCTTAATATTGGATTTGGAAGACTAAATGATGGTATTTTGGTAAGCAACAAATATATTACTTTCCTTCCATTCAAATCCCTTCCATTCAGTCCCTTCCTGGATTGTTTTGTGCCCAAGTGAAATACTTTACATTTTTCCACATTGAATTTCATCTGCCGTCGATCTGCCCAATTCCCAAGTATGTTCAAATCCTCCTGTAACCTTATTCTTATTCAGCATTGCAATCTTCCACCTTCATTAGCTTTGTGTCATCTGCCAACTTAGCCACTGTGCTTGCAACTCCTAGTTCCAAATCATTTATAAAATACTAAACACAAGAGATCCCAAAACAGACCTTTGTGGAAATCCATCTGGTGATATTTTCCCAGTTTGATGACATTCCCTGTACTGCCACCCTCTTGGTTCTTCTGGTCAACCAGTAACATATCCATTGTAATACTCTTCCACTGGATCCAGCTTTCTTTACTTTCAGTAGCAGCCTCTCAAAAGGAACTGACAAAATCATGACTGAAATCCGGATATACAACATTCCTTTATCAGACCATCAAAGAAAACCCGTAAATTTAAATTGGCGAAACTTCCCCTTCATGAACCCATATTGGCTATCATTTGTAACTTTATTTCTGCCCAGGTGCTCTGTGATTTTATCCTTAATAAGAGTCTCCATCATTTTACCCACATGGATGTCAAATTTATTGGTTTTGTATCCTGGGTCACTTTTGTTACCTTTTTTATAAACAGGGGTAACATCTGCCTTTCTCCAGTCTCCCGGCACCCTCCAGTGTTCAGTGATTTGTGCCAATGTCTCTGCAACTGACTCCCGTAGTTCCTTAAGGATCCTTGGATGCAATTTATCCAGCCCCTGAAATTTATTAACTTTAAGTTGGTACAGTTGTTTGGCAACCATACCGTTTGTGATATCAATAATATTGCGACTTTCCTCTTTGACATACTTGAGTTCTCTTTTTAGATCAGATAGGTTACCTGTCTGCTCCTTAGTTGAAACAAAGAACTTATTTAGCACTATTGCAGCCTGTGCAGCATTATTTGTCATGTTCTTTCATGATCCCACCTTCAGTGGCCATATTCCATTGCTTGTTTTCTTTTTCTCTTAATGTAACTGAAAACATTTTTGTTCTTATCCTTCACAGCTCTTGCCATGTTCAATTCAAAGTTATTCTACGCCATTGGCTGTCATTGCCGTTGCCTGGCCGTCGCCGTTGGCTGTCATTGAAGTTGGCTGTGATTGCCATTGCCTGTCATTGCCATTGCCTGTCATTGGCTGTCATTGCCATTGCCTGTCGTTGGCTGTCATTGCCATTGGCTGTCATTGCCATTGGCTGTCATTGCCATTGCCTGTCATTGGCTGTCATTGCCATTCCCTGTCATTGGCTGTCATTGCCATTGGCTGTCATTGCCATTGCCTGTCATTGCCATTGGCTGTCAGTGCCATTGCTGTCACTGCCATTGGCTGTCATTGCCAATGGCAATCATTGGCAGTCATTGCCATTGGCTGTCACTGCCGTTGGCTGTCACTGCCGTTGCCTGTCATTGCCGTTGCCTGTCATTGCCATTGGCTGCGATGGCCATTGGCTGTGATGGCCATTGGTTGGCTGCTGTGGAGCCGGGTGCTGTGATTGGCTGAGGTGGGTGAGGCTGGGCGTTCCTTCCGGTCCACACTGTACAGTGGCCTTGCGGATGCTCCTCTCGCTCAGCCGCTGGACAGGTAGGTGGGGGAGGGAGGTGTCCGGGCCGGGTGCGGCCCGCGGGACAAGCTGCCAGCGAGCAATAGTTTGCCCACCTGGAGTCGGGGATCAGCAGCCCCTCCCCTCCCCTCCCCTCCCCCCCACCCCCCAGTGCCGGAGTCTGGCCTCACTGTGCAGGCAGGGAAGGAAGTCTGCAGTGGGTGTTGATGGCAGTGTGTGCACTGCTCTGCTCTGGCACTTGGACACACGACAGCTTCATTGTGACAGTTGTAACCTAACGTTAGTGTTGTGCACTGTGTTCTGCAGAAGCCCATATCCCTCCCTGTGTGTGACCCCCAGCACTGTGTTCCCAGGAAATAAGTCTTTGTGTCCCAGACAGCAAATGGGATTACTGCTGCTCAACTGGTGGGAGGATGTATTGCTGCTGATGATAAAATCCTTGCCTTTGACTGTTATATATAATAATAATAATAATAATAATAATCCTTGCATTTGATATAGCGCTTTTCACGTCGGGAGGACGTCCCAAAGCGCTTCACAGAACACTGTAAAGTGAATTGACTGTATATTTGTGGGCGAACGCGGCAGCCATTTGCGCACAGCAATGTCCCACAAACAGTCGTAGATTGAAAATGACCAATTTATTATTGTTTGGGTTTTTGGAGGGATTATTATTAGGCTCTGTGTGGAGTAAGGAAACTTGCCCAAGGTTTCGCCCTCTGCCTGGAATTGAACTCAGGTCTCTCACTTGCAAAGCGAGTGCTCTAACCATTGAGCTACAGGACTCCACAACTGTTGTGCCTCGCCAGGCTATTATTGCAAAGCTCTTCACGGGATTCACTGGTAGCGACTGTATTTTGCAGGTGAATCCGGGGTGGGGAGTCCTGTATCGCAGTGGTTAGAGCACTCGCCTCGCAAGTGAGGGACCTGGGTTTGATTCCCGGCAGTTGGGCTCCACACGCCTCTGTTTCACTAGCAGTAAGCGGGAATCTAGTTGTTGGTCAAGTTTCGCCCACGAAATATACAGTCAATTTACTTTACGGTATATTCTGAGAAGCACTTTGAGATGTCTCGGAGGTGTGATAAGGCGCCATATCAAATGCAAGGATTATTATTATTGTTCACACTTTAGGAACATGGACAAGCAGGGACAGGACAAGGCCGTTGAACCCATTGAGCCTCTTTCATCAATGGAGGTTATTCAATCTTCATGCTTTGCCATATACACAACAACTAAAATAACCAACTATTGTTATAATTCCCCTTAATTAACACAAAGATTACCATCCCAAATTCTGGAAGAATTGTAGAATTGGGCTCCGGCTGAAAAGGCTCTATCACCTTTTTAAAAGGTTAACCTGGAGAAGGTGAAAGGTTATATACCTGTGTAGAGCTTCTCAGAAAAGGTGATATTATAATAATAATCCTTGTATTTGATATAGCACCTTACCACGTCTTTGAGATGTCTCAAAGCGCTTCACAGAATATACTATGAAGTGAATTGACTGTATTTTGTGGGTGAAACATGGCAGCCAATTGCACACATCAGTGTGCCACAAACAGTCGTCCCACAAACACGATTGAGTGACCAAATTTTTTTTGTGAGATTGTGTTTTCTTGTGAAATTTACGGAGATCTATCTAAGATGAGCAATGAGGAAGACTCTAGATTTTGAAATAAAACTAGAGGGAGGATTTCAAATCATAACTATTAGTAAAGATTTAGCGCTCTGAGATGCAACCCCATGTGAAATGGCGCTATGTAAATTCAAGTTATTGTTGTTGATGATATGGTACAAAGTATTATATCCTCACTGTTTTGAGTTGAAAATTCATTAATATATCACCCGCTCTAGCTCTTGCTCCAGCTATGATTTATTGGGGGTTTTTGTGTGAGAGAGTGTTGGAAGTTTATGTTTTGACATCTGATTGTAAAAACTATGCATTTGTGTCCTAAAGGCTAACAATTGATTTTCAGCAATGAAGAAAGTCCAAGCTCAATGCAATTCTGTTTGTACAAAGAGTAATAGTGGTATGTTTTATAACAGTGGTAAAAATGGCACTGACCCAAGTTTCAAGCAACAAGTGCTGTGAAGGTTATCAGAAAGTCTTTGAGCATGAGAGGTGAGTATTGTATTTGCAATCAACTACACCCAGTGTGGAAAAATTCCACCTCTGTTTTAATTTACTTTATTTATCTAGCATTTTAGAATTTGGCAAATTCTTAAAGGCAGCCACAGCCCTGTTTCTTAAAACAAATACAGAAAAAAGCAATTCAAAGGTTAAGAACAGCAAAAAAGCGGCTTTAAAGTAATGACTGAATTCAACAATTTTCTAAATCTAGTCCCTCAGAAATGTTATATAAATAGAGTAAATCTAGACAATTGCTTCCCAATTCTTTATTTCTTATAATTCAGATTTGCAATTGCTTCCCAATTCTTTATTTCTTATAATTCAGATTTTGAGCACTTGCATTGCTTCAAAGATTTAGTATCATCATGTCACCAAAAGATTTATATAATCTCCAAGATAGGCTATTCTGGAAAAAGTTACCAAATCAATAAAATACAAATGTACCTTTATGTAGTACCTTTCACGTCAGGAGGATATCCTTGGCACTAGACAGTCTTAAGGTTTACAGCTGAATTAGATGTGGGGCTGAGTGAGGTGGGGGGCAGAAGAGGAAAGATGGTGAAAGCGCTCAAAGAGGAAGGTCTGGAGGTGGACCTTAAAGGAGGTGAGGGAAGGGGGGAAATCAAAGGGATGGAGTAACAGAGGGAAGGAGCTGAAATGCTGAAAGCCTGATGAGGGGGTGGGGGCCGTGAAACAGGCCAGTGCCCGCAGAGTGGAGGGAGTGTGTGGGTTTCTAGGTCTTCAAGAGGTTAAAGAAGTAGGATGGGGCAAGATAATGGGTGGATTTAAAGGTTAAGGTGAGGATCTTGAACTCGATCCACTGGAGGATAGGGAACCAGTGGAGCCAGGCAAGGATGGGGATGTTAGACTTGCTGAGCCCAGTGCAGGAAAAGACAAGATACAGAGTTTTGGATAGTCTGCAGCTTTTGAAGAGAAGAAGTGGGTAGTCCAAAAAGCAGAGAGTTGGCATACTTCTAGCCTAGACCTGATGAAAGCATAGATAATGGTCTTAGCAACCCAAAGGGAGAGTTAGTGTTGGAGATGGGCAATATTACAGAGGTGGGGGAAAGCTCGTGGATCAGATCATGAACGTGAGTTTTAAAGGACAGTTGCAAGTCAAACAAGACACCAAGGTTCTGTACTGGATCCATGATGTGGAATGTACATCCAAATAGTTTGATGCTGTCAGCGCCTGTGGTGAGAAGACACTGACAGGAACCAGGCAGGTGAGCCTCTTTCTTGCTGACATTCAACTGAAGTTAGAGCTCATTTAGGATCTGATGTCTGCCAGGTAATCAGTCAGGATAACAGTGGTCCTGGAATCAGGGGTGAAGGCAGAGAAATGGAGTTGAATGTCACCGCATACATCTGGAAGTTAACTCCATGCCTGTGGATGACATCACTAAGTGGGAGCATTTTTAGCCCCTGGGTCCAATAAGGGGCCCAAAGAGGAGAGGACCGAGGATACAGCTCTGAGGATTGCAGCATGTGACAGTTCAGGGGAGGAAGGAAAAGCTGTTGGCTGTTGAAGTGTGGACATTGAGATAGGTAAGAATGAAACCTGGAAAGGACACACTCATCAACGTGGAGCTGAGAGGAAAGGTAGTGAAGAAGGACAGAACGGTTGACAATGTTGAAGGTGGCAGAGAGTCTAGAAGAACGAGGAGTCAAAGAGACAGCCCTGGCAACAGATAGATGAAAACATTTCAAAATAATTGAACTGTTTCAGTGATAATGCTAGATATTAGTCATCTTATGAAAAATACTGAACAAAAATTATTTTGTATTTTTTTAATAACAGCAAGGAGCTGAAATGTAAGATGCGGTTTGGAATATATTTACCACCAAAAGCAGAGAATGGGAAATGCCCGGTGCTCTACTGGTTGTCAGGTAAATGTTCATAGTCTTGTAAAACTTTTTATATGGTTGTTGAGCTCATTAAACGCTTCAGAAATCATTTGAAATGTCTTGTATGGAAAATAACGTATCAATTTTAAAAAAAAACAAGAATATTTATTCAGTAAAATTTATTCAGTATAGTCTACTGATATAATCTGAATAAAGTAAGTGTGTTATTGGTATTAATTCCTGAAAAAAATAATAATTTGGTCCCTCAATCCACGACTGTTTGTGGGACACTGCTGTGCTCAATTGGCTGCCACGTTTCGTCCAAAAAATATACAGTCAATTCACTTTACAGTATATTCTGTGAAGCGCTTTGAGACGTGTTGAAGACATAAGGCTGTATCAAATGCAAGTATTATTATAAACAATGCAATGTTTGCACTGAGGGCCCATGTCCTATCCAGGCCGTGTGAAATTGCTATTAATTTCTTTTAATTTAACTACGTCATATTCAAGCCATGTTAAACCATTAACCACACTCTGCTGAAAGCCTTACTGTAATTACTGATGGTTTGAAAGAAAAAGACTTGAATTTTTATTTTTTTATAATGGGAAATTGGTTGCATTGTTTGGGAGCTTTAAGGCTTGCAAGATCAGATTTATTTTAATTTTGAAGTGTAACTAGAAAGGTAAAATGTGCTGTAGTTTGAATCCTTTTCCAAATTTCCTTTAGGATTAACTTGTACAGAACAAAACTTCATAACAAAATCAGCTGGTCAGCAAGTAGCAGCAGAACACGGGATTATCATTGTAGTTCCAGACACCAGCCCTCGTGAGTATTTGGGTTTTTGAAATTGCTCACTTGAATAATGGCATATTTCCTAAAATTAATATAAACTTTAGGGCCGTTAAAATTGTTTTTCTATGAGTTTGCATAAATTGAAGAGTTTAATGTCTATCACAATATCCCAGTTAACAGGGTCCCAGATGTCAAAAGAACAGGCTATAAACATTTTATTTAAAACTAGCTGTACCTGTTGCAGCTACGCTTGTAATCAAAGCATCCCATATGGATTGTAGATTTCAGTGATACTACTTACAAACCATTTAACACAGGGTGTGTACACTTTAAGCAAAACTGGCAAAGATGTTTGATGAGCTTATTTAGGTTACTGACCCAAACGATAGATCCCCGAAACAGAATATGCGCATGACATTCCCCCATGCAAGACCTTTCTGATGCAGTATAAATCATGTCTCTGCATCAATTGATTATTGAGTTCTTAGGACAGACAGACATTGCGTCTTTATTAATATAGAAAATTATATTGAAAGGCGTGGTTAATCAGAGTGAGTTTTTTTTCTATTAGCATTGGCATAATTAAAGTGAATACAAATGTGATGTGAGAATTTTAATGAAGTTCTGTTTTTTAAATTCAGCTTTTATCCTTTGTGTGCCAGCCTGGCTTAGGGTAGCACTCTCAGCCCTGAGTCAGAAGGTTGTGGGTTTAAGACCCACATCGGAACTTGGAATCACATAGTCTGACAGCACTGGGGGTTTGTTGCATTGTTGGAGGTGCCGTCCTTCGGATGAGATGTTAAACTGAGGTCCCATCTACCAGTTCAGGTGGACGTTCAAGATCCCATGGCACTATTCAAAAAGAGAAGGGAGTTTCTCCTGATGTCCTGGCCAATAATCTCACAAATAAAATAAAATTGGTCACTCACTCCATGGCTGTTTGTGGAATGTTGCTGTGCCCAATCTGGCTGCTGCGTTTCACTAACAAACACACTTTACAGTATATCCCGTGAAGCGCTTTAAGATGTGTCAAAGACATGGGAAGGCGCAATATCAAATGCAAGAATTATTTAATACTGTCCACCTGAACAACAAACAACAACAACGAAATTACATTTGTTTAGTGCCTTTCACATCGGGAGGACGTCCCAACGGGCAGATTTGATGTCTCATCTGAAGGGCGGCACCTCTATCAGTGTAGCACTCCCCCAATACTACTCTGGAGTTGCTAGATAATTCACATTTAGTGAAAGGAAAAACTGCTAGAAATAGTCCTGTCCAGTGAGCACATTTCCTTTTACTCATTCATAGATCACTATTAACGCTATTACAATACAAATACCTGAAGGAATTGCTATAATGGCAAGTGGCTGAAAGTGAGTTCCTACCAGAAGGGAACAGTTGGCAGATCTTTAGGGACATCATCTGTTCACTAGTGTTAAACTGTAAAATGTGTAACTTCTGTGTAAGGCATATAAATCATTGACTCAGTCCAATCTTGTTCTAGGACTCGTTCTGTTTTACAAATGTAATTACTTGGGTGTTATTTTGTTCTAGGTGGCTGCTGTATTGAAGGCGAGGATGATAGTTGGGACTTTGGCACAGGTGCTGGGTTTTATGTTGATGCCACAGAGGAACCTTGGAAGAGAAACTACAGAATGTACTCCTACATTACAGATGAGGTGCTTATGGTTACACCACCAAAAACATGCATTTGCTTTACAGTTGTGAAAGCAAAAGGAGAATATTATTGAACCAGAAAGCTGTCATTCAAATGGGGAGTACCCCAAATGAGAGGATAGTAAGTCAGCGCTTTGAGATGTCCTCCCGATGTGAAAGCCACTATACAAATGTTGTTGAACCGAAGTGAGGTGGAAATAAATTGTCATGAAACTAGATCAAGGTCATTTGCAGAATTTAGACAGGTGAAGACAATCAGAATTATTAAAGAAAACTACTACTGTGATTAACATCTGTAGTTACCTGAACATATATACTGAGTGTGTGTTGGTAATAGAGGAAGTATATTCAGCCTAGTCAATTATAAAGAAAGGAGCAGAACTACACTCCCTCCCCCCCCCCCCCAATTCCAGGCTGGAAATTGGACTTTGAATTTAAGAATGCTTTGCAGAATTGTACAAGATCTGAATGTTTAAGAGTGGAGTTTTAAGAAGCAGAAGGATTTTAGACCACTGGTCTGCAGTGGACACCACTGAGCTTGAGTTTGGACCAAACAGCAACGTATCACTTGCATGTTTGCTTTGCACTGTTTTGTAGATTTCTATGTATAGAGAATCAAGCTCTTATTATTTATCACTGTTTAAAAGTAGCTAGTGCAGTTTAACATGCTAATCACTATTTTCTGGTTTTGACCCCATCAGTTGCCTCGTCTTATAAGTGCCAGTTTCCCTGTTATTCCAGAAAAGATGTCTATCTTTGGTCACTCAATGGGCGGTCATGGGGCTCTAATCTGTGCTCTGAAAAATCCCGGAAAATACAAGGTACAGACACTAATCTTCGAAGGTTTATCAGAAATTAAATCAAAGCTGTACGCTATACAGAAAAAACAAATGCAAAAGGAACATTATAAAACGTGTTAATAAGTGTTAAATAAGTCTTCAATAAGTGTTAAATTACTCATAGTGGTGCAGAGTTTCTGCTGCTGCTATTCCTATGTAGAGCTGTGTACCAGCTGACGCATAAGGGATTTCCTGATGCAGAGAGGTATAACCTGATGTACTCATGCAGCATACAAATCTGTTGCTGAGGGAATTGCCATTGGCATTGATAATAGGGTACTTGGAGACAAAGTGAAACCCTACATCTTTTAGCAAGAGAATAGGCAAAAAGATATGGGAATGAATGTGTGAACCAAAGGGAAACAAACAAGTTTTAAAAATTTTTTTTAAAGTCACCTTTATCCTCTCTCCCCCACTCCCCCAGTTTATATCATAACATCAGAAGTAGACAAGATATTTCTTATACTTTAATAAAATTAATTATGTATGTGGCATCTTTGAGGCAATCAATTTCAGATCAAAAACTTAATTTATAATTTTTTTATTGCTGTAGGTTAGTTCTTTACTATTCAAACATTGGAAGAATGCTGGCCTCTATGACAGCTTTTGCTGCATATTAAGTCTCCTGGCTGGTTAAGAAAGTTAATCAAACAGAAGATTTTCAATTCCTTTGCTAAAACCTCACAGGAAAGAACATTTATTATTCTGTCAGACAGCATCTGGTCTGGATGTTAAGTTAGCTGTCTATTCAGTCCACAGACCAAGGAAGCACTTAATGAGTTTTGATTCAAACTGATGTCTGTCAAATGATAATTCGGTCATCCATTCTTGTAAGATTTTTCTAAAATCAAGGGCTGACAACAGCTTCTTTGAGTGGAGAGTTAGTACAAAAAGGGGATTATGTCAAATGGAACTGATGCAAAGTTGTCGTAATCACGAGAAATGTTTGAACCAAGTTTCAGAATTTTCATTCTCGTTTTTTTCCCCCACTTTAAGATATTTCTATAGAACATAAAATTGCAAAAAGGGTTCAGCAAAAGCTTTTTCTGTAAATATCACTATTTTTGTTCTGATGAAAAAACAATACAAATGAACTATATATATTAGTCTTTACGGAACTTAAAGAAATTTATGAATGTTTATTTTTGTAACAATTTGTGTAAATTATATTTATTGATTAGCTAAATAAGGTCTCAACTTGTGTTGGAAAATATAGACAGTAGGAAACCATGTCATAATCGCTTAACATCTTGAATCAACATGCAACTATGTCAAAGACTGGAATTAAATAATTTACTCTACCTCATCTTTTCTGCTTTTACTATCCTAATCTGCAATAATATCTGGACAGACTGTATCAGCATTTTCGCCAATCTGCAACCCCATGCAGTGTCCTTGGGGCCAAAAGGCATTTATTGGATACCTTGGTTCGGATCAAAGCAAATGGGAGGTAAGGCTTAATATGAAGGAAATGTGATTAACAGGGATGTGTAACAGCCTGGCTCAGTTGGTAGCACTCTCTCTGAGTCAGAAGATTGTGAGTTTAAGCCCACGTCGAGACTTGGAACTCGTAATCTTGACTGATGCTCCAATCCAGAACGAGGCTATGCAGCATTATTAGAGGTGCCGTAGTTCAGATGAGGTGTTAAACTGAACGCCCGTCTGCTTGTTCAGGTTGATGTTAAAGATCCCATGGCAATATTTGAAAAACAAAAGGGAGTTTATCCTTGTATCCTGGCCAACAATCCCTCAAATGTAATCGGGCAATCACTCCATGACTTTTTTTGGGACATTGCTCTTTGGATCTTGCCTGTTCCATTCACCCACGAGGTACAGTCTTTCCACTTTACCATATATCCTAAAAAAGAACTTTGAGATTGTCCTAGTGATGTGAAAGATACTATATCAAATATATGGATTATTATTTTAGAGAATAATAAAGTATGTTATTTTAATCCATACTAAAGAAGTCCAAATATTGCTCTACTTATTTATAAAAAAGCATAGTAGTGACCCATCTATCAAACTTTCCAATCCCCATGTGTATGTATACATGTGATCCACAGAGTTGCAAATCTAAGGATCAGCAAAGAATGTGCATAGTCGGTGGAAAGCTTGAGGCAAAGGCACATGCAAGTCAAAAGCCTCCTGGAATAGCAGTCACATTGCTACTCTCAGGACTCTTCAGTTTTAAAGATCCTCAATACTCTTTCTTTTCACAAGTGACAATCTTAGCAGAGCTGAAACCTTCTCTACAAGAGAAACTTCAGGGTTTCCTACAAAAGACAGTGCTGCGTTAATGGAAAGGTGGCATTAACTAAAATCTGAGGTTCAGCCTGGTCAGTCCTATCCTGTTTAGATTTTGGGGCCATTTTTCTATTGCTGTTCTATTCGAGTAACTTGTAGATTCAAACCCTACCTCTTTAAATGTGCCTATTGCCACCTCCCTTTCCCTTGCTTAGTGTCCAACTTGGTCTCTGTGAAGCACTTGGAGATGTTATCCTATGGGTACGGCCTTATATAAATGCAAGTTGTAGATTCGTCAGCAAAAATGTCTTGTTCAAATGCTCTTGCAGAACAATTGTAGAAAATGGTAACCGAGGAATAGGGTAAGAAAGGGAGGGACCTTCCGTGGAGTTTAAGACTGGAGAGTCTTGTGTTGCTGGCACCTTGAAACCACGAGAGCAGGAAAAATAATAATAATAATCCTTGCATTTGATATAGCGTTTTTTACGTCTTCTAGACGTCTCAAAGCGCTTCACAGAATAGGCTGTAAAGTGAATTGACTATATTTGTGGGTGAAACGCAGCAGCCAATTGCACACAGCAGTGTCCCACAAACAGTCTTGGATTGAAAATGAACAATTTATTATTGTTTTGTTTTGGAGGGATTATTATTAGGTGTGTAGAGTAAGGAAACTTGCCCACGGTTTCGCCCTGCTTGGTATTGAATCCAGGTGTCTCGCTTGCAAGGCGAGTGCTCTAACCACTGAGCTGCAAGACTCAATAAAACGCCTGATCGAAATTTTTGGATGTTAGCACAGGAAGCAGAGACAGTCACAACAGGCTCAATGGTCTGTGATCCAAATTCCTACACAGTATTCTTGTGAATTGTGGACAGTTTTGTGTAGCAATCTTGTAACCACCGTGAACAGGGTTGAAACTGTACAACTTTACTTTAAATAGATTCTCTCAGCCAGCTGTAAAAAAAAGAACTTGCATTTGTGACATAATGCCTTATCATGCTACAAGACTCAAAGGGCTTCAAAGTTAATCATTATGAAGTCCAGTAACCACTTGCGTCAGCAAAGAGTCACAAGATAAATAACCCAATTGATCTGAAGCATTGTTGGCCAGGATCCTCTGCTAGAAAACAAGGGACACATTCAACCATTAGTTTTGTCCAGTTTAAACATCGATCTTGGAAGTGCATAAAAATGTGCACCACCAAGTCTCATGATGAAGCACTTTTAATTTTACAGAGTACAGCATTCATCTGTTCTTTTCCAATTAATCGTTCTGAGGTTTTCCTGTATGTTTGAATTATTTATTGGATGGTAATGGTTTGTGACTTCTTTTTTCAATGTCCTAAGCTATCAGCTGAACTGATTATCCTTCTTTAGACAGGAAGATAACCAGTGTGAGGGCCAGGGCTGTGTACCACACAAACCTGCTTGTGTTAGGAGAGTGCTGTCAGATTCCTAGATAAATCCTATTTCATAAATGGAATGAAATGTATTTTGCATATCAAGCTTCTTTTTTTACTTCTATTAGAAAACAATATACCAAAAGATTGGTCTAGTTCTTTCAGTTAAAGTTTCAGAATATCTTTAAATTCCAAGTTAACATACTAAAAAATGTTTCAGTAATAAAATAATTAATTCTGTATGTTTAAATCTTGTAATGTTAGTAAAACATTTAGATTCCCTTGTCCCCTCAAGGGTTGGGGGAAAAAAGATTGTTGGTCGCAGCCTGTAGGTGGACTGTTTGTTCTCACTCACAAAAGGATCAAAATAATGCCCCTATAAAATAAGACTGTTTTGAATGTTAATTGTAAACCAGCATCTGGAGTATTGAGAAGATGAAACTTTGTTTCTGCATGCTGTCAGAGTGAAGAAGAGTTCAGTATTGACATTAGTGTGTTGATACTAAATAATAATAAAATAATCTTTGCATTTGATGTAGCGCCTTATCACATCTTCGAGACGTCTCAAAGAATAAAGTGAATTGACTGCATTTAGTGAGTGAAACGTGGCAGCCAATTGAGTACAACAGTATCGTACAAACAGTCGTGGATCTGGTGACCAAATAATTTTTTTAATTTATTTTTTGATGGGATTATTAACCCTGGAAAAGTGATCTGCCAATGGACTATATAAATGCAAGTTGTTGTAGTACCTCCCCCCCACTCCACATGCTCGACACAAAATGCAGCACTCTACCCTGGCGAAGAAAAATTCTGTAGTGTTTCATCTCAACCTCGATCTGCCTTTAAACCCAGCCTAAAACCTACCCCTTCGACCGAACCTATATTCAACCCCTTCCTTCCTACTCCTAGTTCTGCTCCAATCCAGTCACTGTGAAGCTATCCATCGTGAAGGGCACTGCATAAATGCACTTTGTTACTATCATTGTTCAAATACTCATCAACAACAACTTGCACTTACACAGCACCCCTCTCGGGGGGCAGCGTCCCAGAGCACCTAACAGTGGCAGAGCCCGACGCCGAGCAGGGGAGGGAGGAGGTGACTGTAAGCACGATCAAAGAGGAAGGTTTTCAGTCATGATCTAAGAGGGGAAAAGGCGGAGGGGATGAAGCAGAGTTCCAAAGCCTCGGGCATAGTGACTGAAAGCATGGCCGCTGATGGTGGAGCGAAGGGGATGAGGGACAAACAGCAGGCCGGAGCCAGCTGAGCAGAGGCAGTAGGTAGTGGAGTGGGGAGAGAGGAGATCAGAAAGGTCTTAGGAAGGTGCCAGGGCGGGAAGTGATTTGTAAAGCTTGGGCAAGTCACCATGATGGAACTTCTCTCTTCCCTTTAGTCTTATGACGCTACCTGTCTGGCGGCTGCCTATTCAGGACCCACCCTGGATATACTAATTGATCAAGGAAAGGACGATCAGTTTCTTGCAGCTGGACAACTGCTCCCTGACAACTTAATAGCAGCCTGCACAGAGAAAAAAATACCTGTTGTTTTTCGACTACAGCAGGTAAGTCTTAAAGAATAGACTAGTCATTGAACTCTGCTGTAATAATCTATTTATGTATGTTTGTTTGGACTCTAAATGATTGACATCTTGAATGACTTTGCCCAAGGTCATATTCTTTTTTTTGATCAGCTGGACAGGATTTTTATTACTGTTAAATATAAACCTCCTTTTGCTCTAGTGCAGACTCTGTTTATTATAATATGGAGCTCCTCACTGTGGAGACATGAGAAAATCACTCTGAAAAAGAGTCTGAGCATTTAGGTGCAGGCAGACTTGTAATATAAAAGCATCGACCTGTGATCTACCCTTTTCTATCCTTTGAGCAGGCTTCTCTGGCTAAATTCCGTCAGTTTTGATGAAGGGTTCGGGGCAAACCCTCTTTCTGATGCATTATTAGGATTTTCATCTCTTATGTTTCCTGTTTTCCTGCAGGGATACGATCACAGCTACTTTTTCATTTCTACGTTCATTGGAGATCATATCAAGCATCACGCAAAATATCTGAATGCTTAGAAATACGCAGCCAATGAAGAGCACCTCATTCATTGTTTAATTATGTGATGTATTGACATGACGATTCTCTGATTATTCATACTATGTCAAAGACAACTTAGTTGATTTCTTTCCATCTCTTTTCTTCCTCTCCTCGATAAGGCTTTTCCAAGATAGCTGATGCTTGAGATGACTTGGAATCATTGTATTCGATTGTTTTGAAACCTGAATTCAGATCGTCTTTGAAATGGCTATTTGTATGACCATAAGATTTGTTCTAGATGTTCTGTCCAATTCATATTATCACCACACCAAACTGAGAAACCAAAATGTGATCCAGAATAGTTAAAGTGCTGAGGCTTTTTGTAGCAAAATACTAGTATTATTCAGTACAAACACCATTGGAACATGCAGTATATACAGTTGTTCAAGGTATTACAATTTCAAACAACTGCACAACAAAATTAAAGTTTGCGTGATTTGTTACATTTTCAATTACAATTTGAGATGGGATGGTTTAACTTACCTGCTCTTTCCCCCAAACCTATTATATTTGGCTGTATAATCATTTTCTTTCATCATCTCTCAGAATCAATTAGGTTTACCAGTGCAGAAATGAAGCAGGCAATAATAGATCTAGGGTAAATTTAAGTTAGATTAAACATCATTGCCAATGTGGCAATCCATGAATTTCCCACATCTATATATTTTAAAATGTAGCAGTACTGTATGCCACGGTGGATTTCAGGATGTGTGCGCACCATGGTGGATGCCAAAATAAAATTGACAAATTTGTCTTTTTAAAAATGAAAATCAGGTATTTACTAGAGAAAAACAGTAAAAAGCTTTTATGGTTCATAAGTATATTCAAGATTCTCTGTTCATTTACAAACCTTGGCAGTGAAATGTACTGATCACCAAGGGCTTTGAATTGTCCAGTAGAGTTTGATACTCATCCACCATGGCAGTTAAATTTAACTCAGAACCAGCTGCCTCAACTAACATTTTGTGCTATTTTAGAAGCAGATTCATCATACCATACTTCTACTGTACTTGACCGAATGCTGCAGTGAATATTAGAACAAGGATACAATTGATTAAATATTCTTCTGTTATCTGGAATAAATGTGGAATTGTTTTTGTAATCCTTCGATTGACAAAAAATGTATGGAATTAAAAGTTGATCAGTTAGTTGAAGTTGTTTACTTTATCCTGTATTACTTACAGCAAATGTTCCAACTTGTCTAGCTCTGTGGAATTCACCAGCTTTGGACTTGGCTCATATAACCTTTCTAGGATGCCAAGCAGCTGTCTCTCATACTTCGTTCCAAGTTTAATATTCTCAAAGCTCCCATTATAAACCCCAGAAATTTTCATGGCAACTGAATTTGATCTGTGTTCTGTCTAAATGACCTTTTGAATGCAGTGAAACCAGAGTTATTTTGCTTCTTAATTCCAGATATTTTGGACTGCTCTCCAGACTTCTAGTGCTGACTGTTAAGATTTGTGAGGCATTTGTCTACAAAATACATAGCGACTACAATTTTCAGTAGATCCTGTGAAGTACTTTGAGACATCCTCTTGATGTGAAAGGTATTGTATCAAAAATGTAAGGATCAGGATTAATTATAAACTCTTAACTGTCTTTCGTTTATTTGCAGCTGGAAGATGATCTTGACTGAATCGTAGAATTCTTTAATTAAAAAGCCTTTTAGCCGATTGAATTTTAAGAGCCAGCCGTTTAATCCCTCTCCCTCAGTTTCTTTTTCAGATATTTGTGCAATTTATTTTAAAACTTATTTGGAAAATATTAAAAATATTTGGAAATGCCCAAAGAAAAAAATTCACTCACTCAAAAATATCAAGAGGTCAGACAAATCAGAGAAGCCTGTGACCTTGAGATAGTTTCTGTTGTGCGGCAGAAAAACAATCAGAAGTTTGAAGTGACGCCTTATTTGTGTGAGGAAGAGAAATTGTACACAGCAAATGGAGGACACACAAGTCTAACCTCGTGCTCGCTCGTTAATTCAGGCTAACACTTTTAATTCCAGTTCTTTTTCTGTATTCTTTCATATTCGATTGCTCTGAGGGATAGTGAGGTGGAAAAAGAACGACAGATAAGTGTTAAACTAGTTAAATTCAGCTTCAAATAATTCTCATGAGTCTCATAATCAGTTGAATTATACACCACCAACTGATTATGACTTCAAATGGCAAATCAGACATTTTTTCATGTACTCCTAAATTTGATGTCTTTGTAATCATAATTTTCACAAAGATTTGGTTCAGATGTATTCAAAAGTAATTTCAGCAATAGTACGATGTGCTGACTAACATTTTTGTTTTGTGCTTAATGTAAGGCATTTACCTCTAAAGAAAATAATTGCATTTTATAGTGCCTATCTAGAAACATCTCAAAGTGATGTACTGTTGAGTGTACATTGCAAACAACACAACATCCATTTGCACCAATAGACTCTCAGGTGAATGACCGATTCATTCCGATGACTGTAGGTCAGGAGGAAATTCCCTTTTTACTTGAGTTGTGTCGAAATCTTTCATGTACACGCAAAAATGTCTACTCTAAAAATGTAATTATTTGGAATTAATGTAATTAGTGGATTCCAGAAAATGTTTACCATCAAATTGGTTTGAACTCAACGTGTTCGATAAAAGTGACACAATGCAGCTTGTACTGTTCAAACTATGGAAACAATCCTTTTCCTTCATATAAAAGGTACCAACTAGCTTGATGTTACTTATCTCATAATAATGATAATAATTCTTGCATTTGATATAGCGCCTTATCACGTCACTGAGACATCTCTAAGCACTTCACAGAATATATTGTAAAGTGGATTGACTATTCGTTGGCAAAACGCGGCAACTAATTGCGCACCACAGCGTCCCACAAACAGTTGTGGACTGAGCGACCCAATTTTTTTTTGAAAGATTATTACTCTCAGAAAGCAATCCGCCAATCGACCAACAACCGGGTTCCTACTTACTGCTAGATAAACAGACGTGTGTGGAGTAAGGAAACTTAGAACATAAGAACATAAGAATTAGGAGTAGGGCATTCGGCCCCTCGAGCCTGCCCTGCCATTCAATTAATGCACCACATGGCCGATCTATTCTAACTCCACCTACCCGCCGTATCCTCATATCCCTTAAATCCCTTTATCCACAAGAAATCTTATCAATCTCAGTCTTGATTATGTTCAAGGACTGAGCATCTACAGCCCTTTGGGGTAGAGAATTCTATAAATTCACTACCATCTGAGTGAAGAAGTTTTTCCTCAACTCAGTGCGAAAGGGCTTACCCCTAATTTTAAGACTGTGACCTCTGGTTATAGTTTCTCCAACCAGGGGAAAAAGTCTCCCACTATCTATTCTGTCGTGCCCCTTAATAATCTTATAGGTTTCTATAAGATCACTTCTGAATTCTTCTATATTCTAGAGGAATTTGCCTAAGGTTTTGCTAAACCCGAGTCCTCTCTTTTGAGAGGCAAGCGCTCTAGCCTTTACGCTACAGGACTCCATATTTCCTCCTTACCATCAATACTTTTAAATAATTGGAAAAGCATCAAACATATTTGCAGAAAACAATAACATTTGCAAATAACATGGCTTTATTATTTTGATGTTACAATAAAAGTGATTTCTACATAATATACACTATGTACACTGGCTTAGATAACATCAAGGGGCCATGCATGCAAAACATATTGCACATACAAATTATATACACACTTCTAAAGATCTTTTGGCCATTCAAATGAAACTGGATGCTCCAGCATTAGCTGACTTGATAGAAACTGCAATATTACAAAATATTAAAAGATAGAACAATATTCTTTTATAATACATGCTGAGAGGCAGCTATGAACAATGCAAATCGTATAATTTCTGAGTATGTAGTCAAACAGCAAATATTCAGAATTTGTAAAAAAAAAATTAAAAGCCATATGGTATATGTACATTTAAATAGCTATTTCTATAAAATGCATTTCCACAACATCTTTCACCTCTTTAAGATGTAGCAGTCAAGATTTACTCCTTGTATCCCTTTGTCGTATTGTGCTTCTATTCATTTTTGTATGTGTGTGATATAAAGCAGCGTTAAGATTTTCTTTGCATTGTCTAATCTGTCAGATAATAAATATCTAATTTAAGTGCATAGTCCCATTGCAGTACTCTGCTTTTTCGTTTTTTTTTAAAACATCCAAATCCAGTATCAAATGATTTTTGATACTGCTATGATAATAAAGGATTAATAGCTGGATGAGTTTGGAATCTAGAAATCTTAATGATTTGGATAATTGTATAATAGGAAAACTAAAAGTGAAAGGCTTCACTACCTTTTTTTTAAAAATAAACACAATATCTTTATTTCCTTTGCAGATTTAAATTAACGATTGTGATTCCAAATAATTGTGATTTTAAAACAAATAAATCGCTTCACTGGATTCCAGATTTAGATGACATCACTGCTGTGGACATATATATAAAAAAACTCCGATACAAAGTTTGTGCATTAACTACAGCTTTCTGGAATCTATTTTCAGCTTTGCAAAGGTCCCTCTCCTGCTTTATAGAAATTCACCAGGCTTGCTTTTTTTCTTCCGCTTGCTCTGGCTAATTCATATCAGTCTACCAGACAGTACTGGTGTTTGCATCATAGTAGTGCTCAGATCTAATTTTACTTTGTTTTATTTAACTATCTGTTTCAAAGGACTACCGATACCCAATAACATTTTCCTTTTTTAAACCAGTTTCATTTTCACCTAGAAGTGTTTCCTCAATTTCATAAAATCCCACAGGTCAAGTGGAGTCACGCGCAACATAAAAAGTAAACAGTTACTGTAGTTACTTCAATGTTGCACCAACAGTTAATTTCAATAAGTGTCAAGATGGGAGGACAATGAAAATTCCCTCTCTTGCTGACTGTGCTTAATGTTTAGTAGATAACTATTGATCCTACAATCAAATCAATTTATTCTTGGCCATTTCAATCAGGAATAGAAGCAATGCAAAGAGGTTTTCCTAAAAACAAAAATATCATAACATGATAGTTGAATCAAAAATAACCAACAACTTTCTACTGCTCACAGAGCCAGCAAACAAATGGAATTCAAGTTAATATTAAACTAATGTCAACATAAAGGAGCATTCTTTTAACTCTCTGCACATCTGACTTCTACCCAAGACAACCAATTAACCCTTCACAAACCTTCATCACTATGCAGAACTGTCTACATCACTTTAAGATGCAAAAGAAAATGACCACCAGCAAACAGATAAAATCTTTTTCTTTCATCACCTTTAGCATCTCATTCATTAGCTTTATTGAGCTAACACCATTTTCATGATTTTTCAGGGACCAAATTAAATATATCTCATTCGATTTTCTTGAATTTTAATTAGGCACTACTATTCAATAAGTATGAACCTTTCAGTCCATAACAGTCTGGTAATATAATGTTCTTTCTCCGCTGAAGCATCCAATCTAAATAGGGCTACTCCTGCCCCCAGAAAGCTTTACTGAGGCAGCACAGTCCCACAAGTCTATTTCCACTGCATAAGTCAGTGTGTACTTCAGAGAAAATTAGAAACTGCAGGAAATAGTTGGATTAATAATAAAAAAAGTCACTAAATTAGACTTTGATCAACAACATAATATAAAAAACTAATTTCATAAAAGAAAAATAAAGGAATGTTTGGTGTGCAATTCACAAGTCATTTCAAGTAAAAATAAAATTTTCTGAATGCATGTGTTTCTCTTCCGAGTCCATAAATTAGTAAATTGAACACAGGATGAGTGTTGGTGCTTTTTTAATAACAATTTCTTTGAATATTTTTCAGATTTGCTTGGCAAAACAGTGATAACTAACATTTCAATTGTTTGCACTAGGGCAATCTAAATGGGTACACAACAGGTGATATAGGAAATTGTTCCACTTGTTATTCTACCAGAGGCTGAAGTTAAGAAAGTCAAACTCAGGGAAATTCTCTGCACATATCCAGATGAACAGCATTATATGCCTGACATGGCTGCTAAACGTTGCCTGAAACGCTCTCTAGTCACAAGTGTTTTGCACGTTTAATGTTGTAAGGCAGTAGAACACTGAAAAAAAAGTCTTATGCTGATTCTTAACATTGTGCTTATTTTTATTATTCACTTGCTCCAAATCTTTGTATTTTATATTTTTATAGATACTTCCTTGTTATACATAAGGGACTCGGGAAATAAGAAAGTTTAGCTCCATTCAAATTACCACTAAACCTTTAAAATATTTGACAAAGGCTATTTTTTCTTTCTGACAGCACCATCTTTTCATGTCTCTGCTGTACATACAACACTATTATTTTAAGTTATGTTGTACTGGGCCCACACAGAGCTTGTCTTAACAATAGCGTGGTGGTGGTGACTTGGCTAGGAAAACATCACTTCCTAAGTACTATTAAAGTTTGAAGGGATGCAGGTTATAGGTGAACAAAGGTTGTAAACATAGCTGAGTTATTAATATTCATGTTTGGCTGAGAAATCCTTAGTCAGTTGTTAGTGAGCAAAAGTTCAAATGTAGCATTCATTAGGCAGCTATTAATTTTACTGAGTGTTTAAATCAACATGTACATCAGGAAGGTGAGATTGACTTATTAGCAGAAATTATACTGAATTGTGCATTGCAGCACAAAACACGCAATTAAGCATGAAACCTACAGATACAATTACACTCCAAACAAGCCAAGAGCTTTCTGCCATTTCAGTTTTGATTTTTTGGTATAATTTAAAAGAGTAAATATACTATCTGTTTCACTGTAGAATGGCATTTGGATACATACGAGTTGGAGCTGAGTTCAAACAAACCAGATCATCGATCAGTCATAATCAAACAGTGGAACAAGACACATCCGATCATGATGTGCTCCATCGAATCTCTACACAATAAAATTATGTCATTGTTCATAGAAAAAATATTGGTTGAAGAAACAAACTTATTTAGGTTTCACCAAAACCACTCAAGTAAAGTCTTGGCCCTTTAAGATTCGAATCTCTAGTTTCCTTTCAATATCAAAAATCCACCCGATTGCGACTCAAAACACGAGAACTCCAAATGGGGCTATACAAAACTGGAGTGTCCAGACAGTTCAGAATGTAGTGTCAGCACGGAATAAAATAAGTAAGATGCCACCAATAATTTTTTTCAAAAGACACTTTTTGTCAGTTTTTTTTAAACAAAACAGTAGTGAACATTCACTGGTAATTGCAGCAGTTATACCACCCCTGAGACAAGCCAAATAGTTGCTTTCAAATATCGATCAGACTAGTGTCAACACAATCATTTCACATAAATAACGCTCACTAGCACATTCTTTGTAAGCTTCAGGATCACTGTTCCAACAGGTGAAACTAACTGACTAAAATCGCAAATCAGCATCATAAGAAAATTTGTTCCCGTTACATTTAAAAACAGTTTGCTGCAATCTTTGAATTTTACAACCCATATCCAAATGGATGGGTAAAACGAATATCTTGAATAAATAATATAAATAATTTATGAAAATGTTTTAAACTTTTGAACAATTCTTTAGATATTAGGTTATAGTAACTTAACAAATTAGTACAATTAAATGGGTGTTTCTTTTAATACTAAACATACTTAAGACCTGGTTTTGCCCATTGTAGCAAAGTTGTAAATATCTGCCGTTGCAAAGTTAACATACTGATTAAATACAGTAATACACAGTTTTGAGTTATATAATATTTCCAAAACAAATGATTAGTGCCTAATATTGCGTGAGCTGATGAAGAACATTCCATTCTGTTTCATATGTCTGTTACCGATCTCGGAGTTTTCAGACTGTGCTGTTTCTTTGGCTTTCTGGAGGCTAACAGTGATGTATACACTGCATTCAAAAAAGTAAAGCTGATCTGGCTGTGGCCAGGTCTAGCAGCGCTTGAACTGTTGTACTCACTTTCACCAATCCTTTTCCTTCCAGGATGTGATGGGGCAGACATATTTTTTCCTAAGAAAAGGTTAAACAAAAGTGAAACATTTCCAAACAGATTCTTTATAAACTGCATAAAACAGAAATGTTTAAAGCATAGTTACTTTTTGACATATAAATGGTAAAATATAAAACAGCATTGTGATCAGAATCTCAGCCTCTTCATTTCTCCCTCCCAACACAAAACATGTTGATCCCCAAGTAGTGTATTTTCATTCATAGCACGAACCAGCAGGATTGGAAACATAAGACCAAGATATTCCATTTGGTGCTAAGTGTAGCAACTTTCTCAAGAGAAATCTCACTATAGGCAGCAACAGGAACTTCACCCCTTCATTTTCTACTGCTGGGTTCAAGTCACATGTAGTGTAAAATCCTTAAAAATGGAAAAAATAAGCATCCTTTTACAAATTCAGATATTGCTCCGTAGCACCACATTTATACAAGATCATTCAAACAGTGTGCTTTTGTAGCATTTACACTTACCTGTGGCCAAATTCAATCAGGCACCAGGTGGCACTAAGCTAACCAGCCTAATGCAAATGGATTACTTGCTGCAAGAAAAACACATAGCAGGCCATTTGCATCTGATGAGCACAAAGCTCTTACTTCACAGCAAACTCAAGCCGGCTTTTAAGAGAATGGAGATTTGACTTGTACTGTTTATACAGAGGAATTTGTTATAAATAAGCTGCACTTCACACCAGTTACATATACTGAGCTGTATTGTAAATGGAACTTTGACAAGTTGGACAATTAAGTCTTATCTTGTTCTCTCCTTTATAGAATTTGTGTTTTTAAACAAAAACATTTTCTTCCTTGTTAGTAGCCCTCCTCACGAAACACCTACTACTGACCAGCGAAATAGGCATACAACCAACTAGCAAGCAGAGGATAAGTGTGCATGATGACACCAAATTATCATACTTAAACTGCCTGAAAATATGGCTCTATTTACAATCACAGCACGGTTCTCTTTGGAAGTGTATATTAGCATTAATTCCCCACACAAGTAAATTGGGCTTTTAAGTGCTATGGTAATTTCTTGAACATAAAATACAAGGAGCAAACCATCTCCTGGCTAAACTCAAAAAACTGCAAGTGCAAAGGGTAGATGTTATGAGCATTACCTGCTCCTTCATAAGAATTAGTATAACAATATAAAACAACAAACAGAAGAGTGGATATTAATAAGAATAAGTACCTGTAATTGTATTATACACACAGTGCAAGGATATATGCACAAGCAACTGTTTTACATCAATGCACTCCAGTTGTAAGTAATATATAGCAACATTAAAAAGAATGTGTGGAAAAGGCAAAAGCCAAATAGATCCCAAGTAAGAATGGCGTGTGTTGACTGTTGGACATTCTCCCCGTGTGCCAGCAGTGCGCCAACAGTCTTTTGAATGCCGCAAACGTCCGACTGCAGGATGTCATATGGAGAGCAGAGATCAGCCTATCCAAAGGGCAGCCATTAGGACAGAAGAACAGTGCATGAAATTAGAAATATAAAACTTACCAAGAGTCTATATAAATAGTAGTTTGGTTAACAGATTGTACTAGTAGCATGCATTCTCTCATTCGCATTGTCTTTTCTTTATGAAAGCAGCCCGAGAAGTATGAAAAGTCCATTTTGGCATTATGGAAAAATGAAGGCAGCTGCTAAGCAGTTCTATGTGCATACATTAATGAGGAAGCTTAATATGCGAGTTGCAGGAGTGAGAGGGAGCAAGACGGATGGGAGAGGACCAGGAGGAATTTGCTGTTATGTTAGAACCAATGCAAATAGTGTAGTCCATGACAGAAGCAGAGCAGAGGTGATTGTTCACAAGCTGATCTATTTACTACAGGACTGCAGTATCTCAAGAACTGAAACTGTAGAATTATGCCCCTCTAATGCTAGATCAGTCAAACCTTTTGATTGCATTAAGCAATTGTCATTGTTGCCACTGAGATGAAACATTATGGTTTATTATCCTAAGATTGAAAGGACAAAGCATAATTAATTTTAAAATTTCAAGGAACAACATGGTTTACATTTTACTTTGCACTAAACAAAACAAGCTCTCACTGTCCAGAAGTGGAGCAGAGTATACCATACTTAGCATATTCGCTCTCAATAATTGTAGTGTTTATCAACTTCAAATGTCCTATACACTATCTGCAAAATGAGAATTGTTCTGTGGTGCATCAAGATTCAAAGTTTCAGTAACATAGTTTTAGAGGATCCCAATGCTAGTTGGAGATCAGACTAGCTCCTTTTCATACTTGAAAGAAAGTAACTGTTTGGAAGTGCATTGTTCCAGTTGACTGCATTGCAAGGATTGGGTCGTTCTAACAGTTCTTCACATATGTCCCCCTATCCTAGCTTCATCAAGGGGGTTGCATTATTATGATTATAATCTTTGCATTTGATATATCGCCATTCATGTCAGGAGGACATCTCAAAGCGCTTCACAGGGTCGTGGCTGTATACTCTAGGCAAATGCATTGACTGGAAGCCACACACTTCCCACTCAAAAAGGGAAATAAATCAGACAGTGAAACACTTTGAGCTGCTCTTGTGCAACCTCTCCGTGGATAGTTGAAGATGGAGGCAGAGGCTTGAGAGAACAGTACTCAGAAACCTAAAGAGAGATGGACAGCACAAAGCAGATAGAATCACTGTACAGTTTGTGAATTGTTAGCCAAAATGATACAGGATCTTTCCATTAAAACAGTTCGGCTGTTGGCTGATTTAAGAAAACATGAAGAAATATTTACGTCAGTTCATAATCTGTTCATTTGTAAAAACCTTGTGTTGAAGTTCAGCAGGGGAACTTTGTGAGGTTTGTATCAGTACAGCAGTGGTGGATATTGCACTCCTTAACAATGATCTTGTGAACTTCATGTGTTGTAAAAATAAAATCCATTATTAGGGCATATGGACCAGGACATGATTCCAGATTTGTAAACCGATCCTATTCTAGAATGGAAATTTCATGCAAGTGCAGATACACCAACACACAAACTGAATCCTCAATCCTCGTCTATTGTCAACCTGCTCCGAATACTCTCCAGAATTAGCTAAGCAGGGTGCATCCTTCCAGGGAGAGGGGAAGCGCATTCCATTCCAGACTATTTGTTCAGACCCACGCATCGAATTATTCTCTCTAATAACGTGAATTGAAGCTTTTATTTCAAACAATTTGTAAGTACTTATCAATCAGTTTTAGAATGTAAATCTGATCAGCCTTTACCCTATAAAGGTACCCGTGTCCTTTTACAGGTGCCCTTACCCGTGTCTGAACTTCACTGCTAGGTTAATGAAAAACTCAGAGCTCAAATTTGCAGTCACCGACAATTCCTAAGGTCTGAAGACCAGCCAACCCAACCAAATGCAACCACTCCCTGATCTAAACCAAAGCTCCTGATCTAAAGGCCTCAACCTCAAAAGCTACAGCCTATATCAAAATGACCACTGGCCCAAGCAACGTAACTCCCCAGTGCTAGGGTCCACTTCTAATGTTAGCATTTTACTAATTTCCAGGTAAAAAGAATGAACAGGAACATGATAAAAGCTTAGTGAGGAGATAGATATATCATAGCAGGACAGTGGTTCGTGATACAACAATGGCTCAATCCAATATCATTCCTCCATTGTGGAACATGCTTGCATAGCCGCTTCTCTTTACCAAATTTTGCCAAGTTTCAATTTACAAATTAGTTGCTCAGGGCCAGTGACAGCAATGTCATGATTTGTGAAATGATAACTTTCATTTGAAGATTTACAGTGTTACATTCAGCATATACACACACACACACACACAAATGAATCAGCTCTGGCTGGGATGAAGCTCATTAGGTTTGTCTAACTGATTACTTCAGTATCATTTTACTCATATGTTAATTTAACCAATTGTAATGCTAATTTACCATTCATCATAGTGTCATGAATGCGGGGAGGCACTAATTTGTGCGTCATTCAAATAAATTTTCTTTAAAAATTAGCCTGCTTCATCCTACCCTTTAATACAGAACACTTGTTTCAGGGAGAAATAATTGTTATAATTTACCTCAGGTACACCCATTTTTCTACAAGCTTCTAAGAAGTTTTCTACGTTTCTCCTGCACTTTGCCATGCTCAGTTTAGGCTGTGGAATAAGGACACCTTCATGTTAAAATTCAAAATTTACAGAAACATTTTTCAGATCATAAAAATAATAATAACAATAATCCTTGCATTTGATATAGCGCTTTTCACGTCGGGAAGACGTCCCAAAGCGCTTCACAGAACACACTGTAAAGTGAATTGACTGTATATTTGTGGGCGAACGCGGCAGCCAATTGCACACAGCAATGTCCCACAAACAGTTGTAGATTGAAAATGACCAATTCATTATTGTTGTTGGTTTTGGAGGGATTATTATTAGGCGTGTGGAGTAAGGAAACTTGCCCAAGGTTTCGCCCTGACCTGCCTGGAATTGAACTCAGGTCTCTCGCTTGCAAAGCGAGTGCTCTAACCACTGAGCTACAGGACTCCAAATGAACTGCATTTAGCAAGCCGCAAGCCATAGTACACTATGGGACTTTGCATCTCTCTCCCATGTCACACATCCTCTAAAAGGCAAGAATCAGGCAGGCTATATTCCACCCAGACTCTGCTGATTTCACTCTGACATTGTCTATGAGGAAGTACGTAAGCATAATCTAAGACACCGGCAATTTCTTCCTTCTCTGTGAAGAGGCTCCTGACTTCTGCTTGTGTAGTGTCCAGCTTAAATTAGCAATGTAATGCAGTGTCACGAAGGCTACTGGCTGCAAGCGGTTACAAGCTTCTGACCTTGATTTCAGAAAATTACAATAAGAACATCAAACAATATAAAAGTGACTGCTTTCTTTCTCCAAGTGCAAGCCATGATGAAGAACTCACCACAGCTGGTGATGGCACATGGATGCTGACGACTGATCGTGGCCGAATGTGATTGACTAAATGACAGAGAACCACCCCATCCATCAGAGCTGCTCCTGTTTCCTCTGGCAGGTCAACCTTCAGTCTGGTTTCAATGTTCTGTTGGACAAATTTAGTTTGTTTCTTTGGAAATCAAATATGTAAAATGGGAGGCATACAATTCTGTTGTGTTACATTTATCTAAAACCTTGGTTACACAACACTTGGAATACAGTGTACAATTCTGGTCACTGTATTACAAGATGGATATTGGAGAGAGTGCAGGATAGATTTACGAGGACCTAATCAGGGATGAGTGGATATAGCTTGCAAGAAAGATTGGACAGGTTGTGGCTTTTCTAGCCAGAGTTGAGATGATTGAGGGGAAATCTGATAGAGGTGTTGACAATTATAAAAAGATTCAATAAGGTGGATATTGCTGGGTTATTTCCACTTATTGGTAAGTCCAAAACAAGAGGGCATAAATGTAAGATAGCCAGTGGTAGATCTAATAGGGAGTTTAGATGGAACTTCCATTACACTGAGGGTGGGGAGAATGTGGAACTTACTGCCGGACGCTGTGGTTCAAGCAAAAATCATCAATGCGCTGAAGAGAAAATGATGCATACATGGAAGGGAAGCTGGTATAAATACAGGCACAGACTAGTTGGGTTGAATGATCGTTTCTGTGCCACACCACTCGTGTTTGCTTTACATTTCAACAAAGACAAATACTGTCATGCTTTGTGGAAAATACTCTGAAGATTAGTTCACCTTCTAATTTTTACTCAAAATACTTTACTTCCTCACCTCACGGAGCTGTTCTATATGTTCTCTTTCTTCTCTCATTTGCTCCATTTTTCTCCGAATTGTAAACTGAGGATCCACAGACTCGAAGTGGCGTGTTGGCCGAATGAAAACTGTTGAAAACAAAAGGATTTGACGTTTTAATAACAATAAAGAACTAATTTACCACAATCTTACTTTAATAACACTTCCTTCCCTCTTAGTCCTCTCATTCCAGGAATGTCAGTAAGACTGAACAAGAGCAGTTCTTCAACTTAAAGACAGAACATATTTCTATCACATTGATCGGGTGGAAAACTATTATTATTGGATCAAAACACTGGGAAATCTCAATACACCCTGTGTGTCTTTCAAGCTGGTGTGCATTTCATCATTATTCCTTTCCATCATTATTCCTTTCCATCAATCACTATGTTTAACATAAAGTAGTTCAGCTCAAAGCTGATAGATGTTTTCTACTCCATTTATATTGCAGTTTGTTTGCACTATATAAAACAAGTTTAAAAGGTATCAATTTAAATCAAAGGCTTCACCTATCCAAGTCCAAAGACTATTCCAGTCCAGATTGATAATAAAAATATAGAATCATAGCAGCATGCACAAAAGCAGCACACAACACCCCTTTCTTTATGAAGGAAAAAGGCAAACTGTATTAGAAGAATTGGAAACAGTAGACATGGGAGAGGAAAACAAAAAAAGAAAATATCTTAAGATGAACTTCCTCTTTAAGCCGCAGGCTGCCTGACTGACATTACTTGTAAATTCAAAAGAAACGTGCTAGTGCTATATCAAATGCAAGGATTATTATGTTATTATTTTAAATTAAAGCTGGCCAGACAATAAGGAAAGTGAAGCAATAAAGTACATTACATGGTTAGACTAATTAAAACAATAAACTTCCTCTCTTTCACTTTCATACCAACTCTGGAAAGCAGAAATCACAAATACTGTGTATTATAAATTGTACAATCAACCTTACACTTCCTATCAACCACATTGGAGAGAGTCTGTTTTTAGGCACTGCATTTACTATGGTTACTGCAAGGGATGCCTTCCTTGCAAAGTAAAATCATTATAAAGCCTATTGTTAAGACATAGATTAGAATTATGGGCAAATCTGAAGTAAACTTAAGTCAATTTAGATAACTGTGCAGTGGAGTGTTTTAGAAAACTATCCTAAACAGTAGAAATCTCAAAGGAGGGAAGAAACACAGGGAACTAAGGTTGCAGATATGCACATCTTTAAAAGTGAGATTGAAGATGAACACGGCCATAAAATGGAAGTGTGACTGAATTTAAGAGAGTCATTGAATACGAAAGGTGATGTTAAATCCATACATTGATTAGGCTGATAACAACAGTCCTTTATAAACATTTGTCATTCATATTGTGGCTATTTGTGGGACTTTACTATGTACAGAATGGCTGCCGCATTTCCCCACCAAAGACCACAAGTAAAATGAAGTGCTTCAGAGATATTTGAGTGTTCCAGACAATATAAAAATGTATTTTCTTTCAACTGGGTGCAGTTTTAATTATATGATAGAAAAAATCTCAGAACCATGGACTGGGTCGAGTAGATTTATTAGGCAGAGATGAAAGGATGTAGTTACCAGAGATGAAAGGATGTAGTTATGACAAGTTGCAAATAAAATGGACTGTATTCACTGAAGCAGAGAAGCTTAAGGGCTGTAATAGAAATTTCTAGTTATGAGACCATGTAAATGGGAAATACTGAAAGAATATTCCCATTGGATTGGCAGCATGGAGAGGTATAAGGATGGAGAGGAGGGGACGAGAAGAAGTATTTTTACATGTAGATCTTAGGATGTGGAACATATTCCACACTGACAATTGAAGCTGATTTGAGAATGATATTTAAAAGGGAACCAGGTAAATATCTATAGAATGAAAATGTGAAAGGATGCAAAGGAGGATAAATTACTGGATCATAAATAATCAGTGAAGAGGCGTATTGCACAGGCACATATTTTTGTCTTTTACCCTTCTGATTCCAGCAGTGTATTAAAATAAGCAGGGCCTTGAATTACATAGCACCCTTTATTACAACACTCCCAAACAGTGCTATCATTATAGCAGGTCTGAAAGAAGTAAAATAATTAAAATGTATATATCCAAAGACACCAAAACAAAACAATTAGCACACCATAGCAATAATGTCCCTTAAACAGTTAATTATATGGAGTTGCTTCCATTCTTCTCCTCCGAAGGCAATGATTGATAATTTTTCAGGCCCAGAAACCTTACTCAAGTGACCATTCTTAATGGGCAAGTCTAGACAGTGTCTCAGCTCAGCTGCTTGACCTTGAGTAGGGACATCAGGAACAACCCAGATACTGTTTTCCTCTGCCAAACAATCTGGAACATTCCGATCAGGGTCACCAAAAAGTGACTGGAATTCTTTCTGGCTGCCTTTTTCACTCTCTATCTCTGGGAGAGCAACACAGTACATGCCAGAAATCAAACCTGGGGCCTCAGGTAGTGCATTTAGAGACTGATTTCCATAGTAATAAACCTTAGTTTGTATAAAGGCTATCTAAATGCAAATAAAATGATAAAGTGCAAATAAATAAAATATGTTACAGAAAATGACTATGTCCATTCCCAAGCAAAATGTTCCTGAACAAAAATAGTAAAATTACCTTCTTCACATGGGATTGAATTTTGCTCTCGCATATGCTCGTGTGTATAACATTTTTAACGTAATGTTGACAGACTTCGCAAATTGTTTGATCAATAAGAAAAGTACAGCAAGGTTGAGTTTTATTGAGCTTCTTTCAGCCAGTACCCCTGATAATTTAACATAAATGAAAGAAGCCAAAAGTGGATTTAAGAATTAAATGTGCCACTCATCCTTTTTCAAAGGTTTCTTATTCTAATCAGATTTCTAATTCACACTGGTCTTGTGAGTTTGTCATTTGGCTCACGAGTTTTGTTCTAAGTGGCTTCTCTCTATGATTGATGCATTTGGAAAGTGAAAGCCGATGGGATACTTTTTTCTCTGCCTATCCTCATTTCAGCCACCCTACACTTAGGATCATTTTTTTTGCAACCCTGTTATTAAGCGCTTCACGGGCACTCACTTTTAATACAGGCATCCTGTGGTCCATGGTTACTCAAAGTGTGATACCCTTCTGTTTCTTGCTCTTAAAAAAAGGCTGAGTTCCAGGACATCAAGTCACCACCAATGTCACTTCCTGCACACTGCGCACAAACACTATGTGTAGGAGACATCACTGGAAGGAATTATGGAATGGAATTGTGCCTAACTGCTTTAGAAGTAATTCCAATTCATTCAAAAAAGGTTTTTGTCTTAGTTTATGTCTGTTCCGAAATGTGGATTATTACAGAGAAAGTTAACTCAGCAAAGTATTAATAACCAAACTTAGATGTGACTACCCAGACATACCATCACTTCTGTCTTCTTCCTTGGGGGAACTGATGATGCTGCTGTCTTCTGTGTTTGCCTGTGTGAACTTTCTGAAGGAAGGATGAAGGGAGTCCAAAGAAGAAGTGTTGGACTGGACTGGAAGTGGCAAGGACATGAAGTAGATGCAAAGAAGGTCCATGAAGCATTATTTACATGCCAAATGGACCAAGAAAGTTAAACGGCAGAGTTTAAGCAACAGGAGCAGCAAATGCGAATTCAATATGGATTGATACAAGATTGTACCAAGAAGTTAAAGATAAAGCACAAATAACATGAAGATACACACAACACAAACAAATGGAAGAAAAAAAATGTTAGCTCTTTAAAACATAAATCAAATCATGCAGTTAATTTTCAGCCAGTACTAAATGGCTGTTTTGCACATAAGAAAAGCTACTAAAAGCCAGTTGTATGGTAATGCATTAAATGGTAAAAACTCACTTATGAAACGACCATTTAAACAATACATGGAGAATTAAAAGTACACAATGTATAATTATTTATACAAGACACGCTCAGTAATCCTGTATAAACTATACAAAAATGTTGCCCACAAAATATACAATCAATTCACTTTTCAGTACTGTATATTCTGTGAAGCGCTTTAAGACGTCTCGAAGACATGATAAAGCGCTACATCAAATGCACGCATTATTATTATTTTTATTAATTCTGTCAGTATACAGATCTAATTTTAATTTGACCTTTTTAGAATATATGGGATTTAGAGGAGAACAATTTACAAGAGATGATTGACTGAATATTTATGCATTTAATCAGATTAACAACTTATTATATTGACTACACTAAAGCATAAACTCACCTCTTCAATTGAACCCACACCCCATATTAAATTGCAAATTTGGTTATGGCAGATTAAAGCATTAGGTATAGCTTTATGTTAGGTTAGACCAAATTAACTAGTTACAGATGTTAGTGAATGAATACTAGCGAGAGGATTATATACAGAATACAAAATTCTAGAGTTGAAGATGTAATTTGGAAATAAACTGAAACAGTTTAACTTTAACGTTCCACTGTTTATAAGTATAAGCTCTCACTGACTATTGGAGAATGCAAGGAATTGACCTCTTCACATGTACTCTCTTGTTGCTAAACCAAGTAATAGAAGTATGATTAACACTCAAACTTTTATTAGTTGACATCCAGCTGTATTGATGAATACTAGATTTTTTAGCCAGGTATTAAAGATACTCATTTTGCCCCTTGTTTGCATAATTTCTTTAGTTAGTTATTTGTGATTTTTTTTCCTGTTTGCTTATATAGCATAGAACAAAATTCTAGATATTCTAATTTATTTTCCTGATGCACTATATAAACAGCAGCTAATCATAAGCAAAGGAAAACATTTGAGTAAAACCTTTGCTAAGGGCTTAAATGGAAGAAAACCACTGGGCCATATCAAAGCTGACAGCCTCATTCAACATGCACTAAATTCCCAGTCGAGATAAGATTAGTGAGAATTCACTAAGAATATAGTTTTGTGCCAGTATGTTCCTTGATGTTTAAGCAATCCAGTGAATCACTGTTTAAAATATTAAGATTCTTAAAGATAGATCTGAGTGGATAATGTCAACAGCAATTTAAGTACTGTATTTTTCATCTTCAAAGTTTAATGCAACTGCAGCCTTTGGCTTTATTGATATGGCGACACAGGGAAAAGTCAAGCTAACCTGACTGCTCTAAAAAGGCTAAGAGAATGACATACTACTTTAGAAATAAAGCAAAATGACTGTCAAGTAGCCAAATACATGATGTCATATTCCTGTACAAGGAAATACAAAAAACATCTCTCTGCTTAGTCTGTTTCTAATGAAGTCGCTACTATTCCTGAATAACCTCAACACAACAGCCACAAATGCACACATGTATACAATCTATGGATGAGTAGCGAACATCAATCATGTGAACTGAATGATATGCAGATCAGCATCATTTATCACTTTCACAGAAGAAAACAAAGATGAATAACATCTGGAGTGGATTTAAACCCAATTTCTGTATTTGTTTTTTTCAGGGGAGGTGAACTTCCTTTCCCACTATTCTTTCAACATCCAAGACCTGTACAAAATTCAGATTATTTTACGCCTGTCAAAAACTAAGCTTCCCATTTTCATGTTCTTTTTCATTTTCTCCCTTCCCTCTTCTATGTGTCTCTCCCTGCTGAACAGTCAGGCTTCTGTCAACGTTAATCAAACCCAAAATATCACTTAATGAACTGTCCCTTTGACCCAAACGGCTTGCCGATTGCTTTCTTAATTTGGGCCAAATCTCAATGCTTAGGAAAACTAAGAACCCCAGTATCCCAGTTTTTAAGAATCTGGGACACAAAATTACAAAAACAATTTAAAAGTTGCCAGATATTCAGTCTTCACATCAGTCAATACAAAAGCATGCAGACAGCAAACTTTGGTCCAAGAGTAATGTATGTAAATGTTTCTACTTTTAATTTCTTAAAAAATTACAACATGCAAGTTCAAATAGATCAAATTAATTTCTATAAAAGCAACTACTACATCTTCTCAGGCCGTGAAAGTGATTGGTTGGAAAAGTTAGAAGGAGCTAATCCCTTAGGTACAAAAGGCACGATTCGTAAAATACTTTTTATTTTGCTTTTCATCAGGTTCCAGTTTTAGAAACCTAGAAACATTCCACTTTGACCAGTTGAGCATTATTCCATTGATTCTGTAGAACCTGTGGAACTAATCAGTGCTAAAGAATACACAAATTTGACAAACTTATATTGTTCGCAGTAATTGCCCCCATGTGCCACAGAGAACTGTGAAAGCTAAAACCTGTCAACTTGGATTTTACTCCTATTTCTCCCCTCCTACATTTTAGATAAGATTTCCCTTTGGGTACTTCTGTCTCATACACACACCCCAGTACAGAAGCAGGCAATTTATACAGCTCTCTGCCTATTCTGTTCCTAGAGGTAATCTCCCCCTCCCTCCCGCCCAAAATAATACCTGGAAATCATCTGCTGATATTTTCTCCGTACCTGGGGAACAACATTTCTGCTCAGTGTTCACATCTAAGATGCAACATGTGTGAGATTCAAGTAGCATTAACATTGCACCAGCTTGTAATTTTATTTTAACATTCAATCTGAATACTCTTGCAGCAGATCAGCAACACTGCATTCTCTTAAAAGGTTCATAGAAAATGCAAGAAATAGACCACACAAGATATTTGTTGTCTTTGTTTCTTTTCAAATAATAATTAGTAATCTCGCAGCTCTGCAGTCATACAGCCCAACCTCCTGCACCTGTAGCGTCACTACCCATTCTGGAGGCAATTCTGAATTCTATTCACATCAATAGCAGGCAACATGGACAATGGAACTGAACAGTTCAGTCAGATTTAAAATGTTTTTTGATAATTGTAATGGCCAAGATTGTGGCCTTCGTGACCACTAGAAATCACATTAAAATCACTAAAAGTACAACCTTGAATAGGTTCTTCAAATACCTTGGTGAAGTCGCAAACGTTTAACAAATGGGTCCAATTTCTTATGGTGCAGCACAGTAGTTAACATAGCTGCATAGAGTGATTTCTTGCACCTTTGTCAGTGTATGCATTCAATGGGCTTGTGGTCTTTTTACCTCTACCAAAATTAAAACCTTCAGTCTTTCCGACTTAAGAGATTTTGTAACAATTCTCACCATAATAAACATTTCTTTTTGGAGAATGACATTGGAATAAGGCATTTTTTATTTTTTTTTAAACGCTTACCATAAGATGCAGTCAAGTAGTAAGATTAGTAGCCATTGAAAGATTTGCTTACCAGATCGTGGCTTTAGCCCAAAGGGAGTTGTGAGAGAGCGGGCTGTAGGAGACATAGTGGGAGTTACTGTAGGAGTCTTCTCTTCATCCTACAAGGATTTAAACAAACCAACACTTGGAAAAGGAAAAATAATTCACTAAATTCTTGGCAAAAATGACACTAATTTCTTCCCTTTTTCGCCTCAGACCTCACTACTCTAGTTTTGTTAAACATTTGTGTTTCGGTTAAATTTGATTATTTTAAAAATTTCCTCTTCACCTCTTAAGAAAAAAGATGTGTTTAGCTTTAACCACTCTATGGTACAAACTCTGACGTCAGCAGTTAATCCTGATGTCTAGCCTGCTTCTTGTTGAAGTAGAACAGTCTCACAATGAAGGATCATCATTATAGATTAATAAATTGGTCACGACTGTTTGTGGGACACTGCTGTGCTCAATTGACTGCCGCATTTCTCCCACAAATATAGTCAATTCACTTTACAGTATATTCTGTGAAGCGCTTTGAGACGTCCAGAAGACGTGAAAAGAGCTATACCAAATGCAAGGATTATTATTATTATATAAAAAAGAAAAGCACTTGTAAGCAAATTAGTTCAATATATCCCAACAATTGTCAGAATATAAGAACATAAAGTAGTGGATTTATATTGAATACACCACCACCACCAGCTCAATGAAGGCTAAAGGATGAAGAATTCCTAGAATGGTGTTAAACGGCTTAGGGACATTTTATCCTTTTGTATATGTAAGAGTCAATATCTATTTAGTGATTCCAAAGGTGGCTCTAAATTGTCCTCTATCATTTCCTTGGTTCAGATTTAACATTAAGTAATTTGCACAAATGGACCAGATAGATACTTCTTCTATTGTCAATTCCAAACCCTGCCCCTTTAAGAGGCTGTTTCTTTGCAGAGACACCCAGCTTTCTTATCTTTCGGAAGCTGACAAAGCAGCTTAGAGATAAGTCTAACATGATTTTATCCTTGTTCAACCAAGATGAAATCAAAGTTCTCGTTACCAAAGTTGAATGTAATTTAACTTAGTGTATTCATTAGAAGTTATGTAAAAGTTACAAGTGTTAAAAACTGCATAAAACACTTGCTGAGGCACTAAAATACCTGAAGAAAACAACATGCATTTATACAGCTCCCTTTACATAGGGTCTTGTCTCAGAGCACACCAGCAATCTGGCCTTAGAAAGAATGCATCCTATTTTATTCAAGCAGTTCTGATCAGGTTGTGAGTCACAGACATTTGTTTGCAATCAGCCAATGTGCTCTTCAATAATGCTAAATGATTCCTGGAGCAATGCCTACCTCTGGTTGGATTACTAATTCAGGGAATACAATTTAGATATTATGCACAGAAGTAAAATTTGTCCTGTAGCCAGAATAGTTCTGGTACATATCAGAAGTATAAGTTAACCAGGGAATTAAACTCCAGAAAGTAAGTCCTTGAGATACTCACCTCACCCTGAGAATCATTTCTCTCCATGCTCTCATTAGCGGTCTGGGTAGATTTCAATGCATGCAAAATAAAGAAAATATTTAAAGCACTTAATTCTATAAAAAAACAACTTATTTCATATCAAAAAAACAAAAAGCAGAGCTCACCTGATGGCCTTATAGATAAAGGACATTGTCCAGGTTAGAATTAAGCCATACAGAAGTGAAGATTATAGGTTTGATTTCTGTTCTGTGCATAAATAACCAGGGGAGTATCTGAGAAACTACAACTGGCTTGAGCACCCAGAGTGATCAGTATTCCCAATCCTGATCTTATCCAATGACCCACCGCTGGGAGTGTACATGTGTGGGAGTTGGACAAGCATTGGATCAGGGTCAACTGTGATGCTCTCCACAGTCAAATATAATAATCCCTCAAAAAAACAATTGCTCATTTCAATTCATGACTGTTTGTGGGATACTGCTGTGCGCAATTGGCTGCCGCATTTCGCCCACAAATATACAGTTCACTTTATTCACAAATATACAATTCACTTTTACAGTCTATTCTGTGAAGCGCTTTGAGACGTCTAGAATACGTGAAAAGCACTATATCAAATGCAAGGATTATCATTATTATAATAATATACATAATAATCATATTATTATTATATTATATATTATACAGGTTAGAATTAAGCCATACAGACGTGAAGATTATAGGTCTGATTTCTGTTCTGTGCATAAATAACCAGGGGAGTATCTGAGATACTACAAAAAAAAAGAAACTAAACTGTAAATATATATATATATTATACATATTTATTTCTGAAAAGCACTATATCAAATGCAAGGATTATTATTATTATTATCCTGTTGACAATCACTGTGTGAAGCTGATCAGACAAGATCAATCATTTCTGAAGCTATACTGGTCATCATTTGTTAGGTCATAAGTAATATTCCATTTTGCTTCCAAATATTAATTCTTTGATTTCCAATTATTGAAATTAAACTTGTGGGTTGTAGCATACCAGACAGCAACCAGCACCCATGGAACTTCATCCCAGTAAAGGTTAGATTCTTTAGAAAAAAAATGAAAATGAAACAAAATGTCCATTTAAACAAAATATAGCTTTTACACTGAAAAAGAAGTTTCAATCAGAAACGACAATATCGTATCTGAACACCCAGAAGTAGCAAATCACTTCAGTACCTGTTTGGACATATTCCAATCAAACCGCTGAAATGTCAGGTGAGCCTCATGTTTTGTTTTCTCCAACATCACTTCCCGCTTCCTCTGAAATTCCAGCTCTCCAATTGAACTTTCAGTCTAGATTAAAAGGCAATTGTCAGCGATTCTTACTATTAAAGCAGAATTCAATTCTGAAGTATATTTATTGTTAAATAAGGATTGGGTGGCATACAGGGTTAGTACACTACCTTTTCACTTCTGGTTTGAATCCAGCTCAAAATGATGGGATGAAAGCCTCCTCTTTTGCTGGCTGTTGTGCTTGGGCAGTAACAACACTGTTCCAAGTGGGGACAGGTCCACAGCACAAACCTCCCCCAATTCACAACACAAATTTGCAATCTCACATGGAGAGACCACTTGGGAATGGTGTGAATGCAAATGGAAAAATTGGCACTGATGGAATAGATGGTGATCTTTTGAGAGGTTATAGTACATTGTTGAGCAGAATAAAGGGAGCTTTACTCTGCATCTAGCTGTGCTGTCCCTATCCTTGGAATGCTTAATACGTAAAGTGGAATGGTATCTACTACGTCGGCCTTGATGAGCACAAAAATTCTCCAAATACACCCATTTAGTAGTTTACTATCAACCATACATTAACAAGTATGTTGAGGCTATCTTTTCCTCGTAGACAATAAACCAAAGATAGCCTCAACAAGTATGTTGAGGCTATCCTTTCCTCGTAGACAATAAACCAAAGGGTTACTTGGTCAATTAAATATCAGAATTCAAAACCTATTAAAATATAATACACTGATACATTCCAATACTTGCTCTACTGATTTAGAAAAACTCATTTTCCAATATTTATTAATGCAGTGGTATTAATATTCTTTCATCCTGCAAAAACGGACTCAATAACTAACACATTTAAATAGTTTTTAAAAAATGACTGGTTGGCACATAGAATATTGGGTTGTAGCACACTTTCGTAAGGCAATATTTTGTATCCAAAAACGCAGGTATGGGAAACCTGCCCACTATTGAGCCTCATGTTCCCTACTGAGATTATTTGCAAAAGTTTCTATTGATTGTCAAGCTTTTCACAAATTGTGAGACTTTCATGATCGGTTTGGTAGCATATTTACTCTATCAGACCTTTCATATCAAATGTAAAAAACTTTAAATTTTCGAAATAGATGTATAAATACTCAAAGAAAAGGTATATTAATCTAATGAAATCCTGAAATATTTTGAAAAATAAGCCTGAGGTAAACCTAAACTGCTTCTAAAGTTAAAAGAGAGAACAATTTTCATACAAGGGTCTCATTTGCAATATTCACAAACTTAAAATGTTGGCGCAATTGTAACCTCTGGTCTGTGAAATCTGTAGTGGAAATCGTGGTTTAAGTTGATAAATTCCAAACATGTTTCAATACTGCTCTATTGACTTGGGATTTTCAAGCCAGAAATTCAACAAAATACCCCTTTGAATTTAAAAATTAAAATTAACATAAGAAATGCTGTTTGTGAATATTACCTATTAGATCCCCATTGTAATCCATAAGTGAGGTTATTCAAGGAAAACTATTTTCATTATTCCAACTATTTCACAACAATGCCAAGAGTTTCTGTTAGCAAGGGTTAGTGATGCAGTGAAATAGATAAATGGAAGTTAGAATGTGTTTACTGAAGCAGATAAAATAGAATGAATGACCTCAGATGGAGAATCTTCATCTACACATAATGGAGGAAGAGCCTAAAAATGAAAACATGACAATGACACAGCTGGTTTAGCATGAAAAGTAAAATCATAATTACACCATACTTACAGAACCACTAAATTTATTATGCAGTACAAGTCTGGGACAATCAGATTCCTTATAAGGATAGAAATATGCAGAATAAAATAGTGGTCAGGGTTTGAACACTTACAGATTGTGAAAAAACACAACTCGTGGACAAGGAGAGGATATACATTTAGAATTTACCAAGCTTTTTGCAATGTTGCACTGTTGAAAAGCACAGAATGGCATGGGGTAGGGGCTTTTGAGATGAATTGGAAATTGGCTAGATCACTGGAAACAATGGAGCTGCACTAACATGATAGGAGCCTACTACAGTAAAGCATCTTTATAACAGTAAATTATTTCAACAAATTCAAGATATAATAGGTAGCTATTTTAAAAATAATTTAAATGAGAATTTATGAGAGAGACTAATATAATATTGTCTTTTGAGTAAAAGCCAGATGGCCAACAATAGTCTCTTCTGGTCCTGCACATTCCCAGGTTCAGTACTTTTACTGGATTTGGTGACATTTTAATTAATATCAAGTTTTTTTTAAAAAAAATTGGATCAGTTTTGTGCTATTATTCTTCTCATCTTCTCAGCCATTGTCCTGTGTGAGATGCAACTTTAACTGCTCATTTCACAGTCATATTCTGTGTTAAATTGAATAACTGAGACCTATGGATTTTGAAATTCTCACACTGACATTTTAGTATACAATCATTTAAAATTCACCAATCTGCTCAAATAGAACCAGTACCATGTATTTAATTAAACAATTTTACTGACTTAAAAACATATATTATCCTACATTTAGGTAACTAACTCACCTGGTAACTGGAGAACTTTGCTGTGGAAGTGACTTTAGGTGTCCTCCCACTGGAATAAACAAAGAAGTGCACTTAGCAATGCCATCAATACAACTGTGCTGAATTAAATCTGCATCCCAATTAAGCTAGTTAAAGCTTCACATGCTATAGTTTCCTCCAGTGTCCTGACCAATAATTTCCCAAATAAAATTGTTCATTCCCTTCATGGCTGTTTGTGGGAATTCCTGTGTAGAAATTGGCTGCCTCATTCGTACACAAAAACATACTGTCACACTTTGCAGTAAATCCTATGAAGCGCTTTGGAACATCCTCTGCTTTGTAAAGAGCAGAAGATAGAACTTACCAAAAAATCCAGAAAAAATAAGCATTCAAAATAATGGAAATTGACATTCTCATTCACAGGTAAAGAAATAGAACCCCAATTCAGTTCCAGGTAATCTAATTTAAACTAATGGTTTCAATATTTTAAATATCTAAAAGCAAACAAAATACCCCTTTGAATTCATCACGGGGTCTTGTGAATTTGATATCATGTCCTCAAACCCAGGGAAATCTTATGGAATAAATTCATCTTTGAAGCACATTTCACTGAAGCACAGCTGTTTTACAGCTCCCAAACAGCCATTCACAAAAATACACAAACTGAAAAACATTTACAGTTCTTAAGAGTAAGCTAGCATTTCAAATAGTCAACTTCATAGGTTTGCACACACCCAAGATTTGGGAGGAAAAGAAAACAGAAACATCCATGAGAAAGATTTAGTATAAAATATTTAAAATCTAAAACAGAAGTATAAAACCATATGCAGTTCCAGAATTTTCATAGCATAAGTGTCAAAAATTAAAAGCTGATGAATTTTAAATTTTAGGTAGTGTGGGATTGAGTTGAATAGTGGTCAGGTTAGATACACATTCTAGTATCAACGCTCCTCAACATATGGAAACCCTCTATAAACCTTATACAGCAACATTAACTACTGTCATAGTGATATGCAAACGTTTGCAATGTAATATGATGGGGTGCAGGAGTGAATAATTTGTTGAAAAAAGATTATCACACAAATTTCTAAGTTCTGCGATGTTGAAAAGCAATGATGGCTCATCTGTACAATCATCACTAATATATTAATGATTAATGAGGATGGAGGAACAATAGGAAAGTGAAGAAATAGAGAATAGTTTGAAATGTGATGCACAATTGAAGTCCAGTACAATTAACATATGAAATCTGGTGACAAGAACTCAGTTTCTGGGCTAATTTTCTCTTTCATTTTTGTGTGTTTGTTTGACTTTGTAAAAATACATTTTGTTTCCATTTCTTCCTGTTAAAACAAACATGATCAAAAGAAGAATTCATTATTTACTTTATAGCAGATGCTTGCATTTCCAAACAGACCAATGTTTCCGATCGCAAAGGATATTGATGAGCTCCACTACTCTCCTCATAATTCTCGTTTAACCTGAGTGCCAAGAAAATAAAGACTTGAAATAAATGTATAGAAAATACATCTACATTATTTCACTTGAACAATTTATCAAAACTCTCGCATCTCTTAATATAAATCAAGTTTTGAAAAACATTTTTTCAATTTGTCATTTTTAAATATTGTTATTAAACATGTTGGTGTAAAAATTGATAGCAGTAGCCTTGATATAATGATCTTCAATACAAATCAGTATCAACAAGGCTAAGTCCCTCCTGCTTGACTCTCATCAGCACCTTCTCAACTCAGGCAATGAAGGTGTAAAACCTCAATGTCTTATGAACCAAACTATCCTTCAAACCTTACATTCTGTAAGGATTTTGTAATTAATGTGTTAAATATTATCTGAGATTCTCAAGGCTGAGAAACACACAGGCTGTAGAACATCTCCCTAAAGGTGTCTATCAGTTCTTTTCCCATGGGAAAATAGGACTGACTCAAGGCCACTGGCTGCTTGAGCTATGGCTCCATTTTCTCAGAGGAAAAATTAGAGACAAAGCAACTATCTTGCAAAAGATAAAGTAGGTGAAAGGCCATCTACCAACTGGATAGAGAGAGATCGGTTCGGGAAGAGAATCAGAAGAGACAGGGAGTTGGAACTTGGAGTTGCAAACCATGTTCCAGCTTCTGAAGAAGGAAGACTAAGACTTAGATGACTGTCAACAACTTTATCAACGTTCTCCAGTCAGCAACAGTACAGCAGCACCTGGATATCTTTTGGGTGATTGAACAGGCAACAGTACAGTAGTACCTGGATACCTTTGGGTGGATTAAATTGGACATTAAATCGGACATTACGTCCGCAACATTTGGTTCGGCCAACCTTAATCATTGTGAACCGTGAGTGGATACGTAAGCATTATTCTGTTGTATTCTTTTAACTACCTATTAACCATTCTTAATCTGAATTAATAAACATTATTTTTTGATATCAGATTTGTGTCAGTCTTTATTTTACCGCAGGGTTAAAATGGACATCTTACACTTCAGCCTCTCACTAATTCTGTTTTCCTTCATTTATGCAACAATAACTTATCTCTGCCAATACCTCTCCCAAGTGTGGAGACTCTCAGCTGCATCTTCAACACCTGCAGCTCAATTAGTGGGTACAAATACATAGCCCTTTGCAGTATAATAATAATAATAATAATCCTTCCATTTGATATAGCGCTTTTCACGTCAGGAGGACGTCCCAAAGCACTTCACAGAACACACTGTAAAGTGAATTGACTGTATATTTGTGGGTGAATGCGGCAGCCAATTGCGCACAGCAATGTCCCACAAACAGTCGTAGATTGAAAGTGACCAATTTATTTATTTTTTGGGGTTTTTGGAGGCGTGTGGAGTAAGGAAACTTGCCCAAGTTTTCGCCCTGCCTGGAATTGAACTCAGGTCTCTCACTTGTAAAGCGAGTGCTCTAACCACTGAGCTACAGGACTCCACTGTAGCTCAGTGGTTAGAGCACTCGCTCTAACCTGTGTAACCAGTAACCTCTAACCAGTATATCCTGTGAAACGCTTTGAATGTTTCACTAACGTGATAAGGCACTATATCAAATGCAAGAGTTATTACCTCTGCTGCTCCTGTGATAGGCTGTCTGGTGAACTCAGGTTTTCAGTCACTTCTGGATGAGTGTCCAGATGCTGTGCTGTGTTTTGCCTGCAACAAAACCATAACAAAATATTTATGTTAGCGTGTTAACTTTCTCATGCAAAATTAAGTTTACCTCTTTATTTGAAAAACTGGATGGTAAGAGTGCAATGTGGATACACGAGCATGATACCAACTATGACATAATGGATTAGGCTGCAAATGTAGTATTGCGTAATTTTGGGCCTCTCACTTCAGCAGACATTAAGGCTTTAAAGGGGATAGAGGAGGTTTATGACTCTGGGGACAGTGTGCCAGTCAGATGTCTGGGTGGAAACCATGTGCACATTCAAAAAAGACTGATACATAGTTGAGAGAGAATAAAGTTGTTTCTTTAAGCATTGGTCAGTGTTTAGGAATTCCAATACTCATCTGTAACAAGGCTGAATTGAAGACTCAACATTTTAGGGTACAATGATTATTATTTAAATTTACAAGTATAAAAATCTGCAGTACCTCCGTCATAATTGTGGTTGGGATGTTACATTCAGTAATGTTGATGAAATTTTTATTTTCACAAGAACAATGGGGACGCAATTCTAAACGTAACCTCATTACCTGACCCAAAGCAGTTCAGGCAGGATTCCCCCATCCAACACAGGGATCAGTTAAAGAACAAAATAATAATACTTGCATTTGATATAGCACCTTATCACACTGAACATCGTTGAGACGGCTCAAAGCACGTCACAGAATATACTGTAAAGTGAATTTGACTGTATGTTTTGTGAGCAAAACTCGGCCGCCAATTGCTGACAACCAATCAGCTTCCTACTTAAATTTAGGTAAACAGAAGCTTGTGGAGTTAAGGAAACTTGTCTAATGCTTCACCCCGCCCAGAAACCGAACCTCTTGCTTGCAAGGAGAATGCTCTAACCAATACATTATAGGACTCCACAAAATAAAACAAGAAACAATAGTGCTCAGTGAACAAATCCCCTTCCCCGACGAAGTGTCCTAATTACAGCAGCTCAATGTGCAAGGTGTGGAAATAATACCGGCCATTTCTGCAGTGTGTCAGGAAGTTCGATTCTAGCTGAGGGGAAGACAAGTGGGTCTCCTTACCAACCACGTTCTTCCAACTCCTGGGCCCCCTACCGCTGCCAGATAGTGAGCTGCCTTTTGCACCGAGCAATCAACTCCTTTCCCCCGATCTCGCGAGATTAAAGGCTGACAGATGCTATGCCCTCCCACCAACTCCTCCTCCCCCACCCCCCAACACGATTGCCTGTTTGCCAGATAGTAAGCTTCCAGTCATTTGAAATGGGATCCACCAGCTCCTCTAATCTCGAAAGGCTGGATTTCGTGCCCTCCCTCTAGTGAGAGTCTGCCTTTCCTGCTCCTCCAGCTCAGGAGGAGGCACGTGATCGCTCACCTGCAGCACATGCTGTGAGCAGGCCCCAGCCTATTGAGAGCAGCAGTTTCCTCATAGCAAGCTCCCTCTTTCCCCAGTGAGAAAATCCTCCATGGCCTTCACGACCTTCCCCACCCTACCTCTTTCAGCGCCTTGGGACGTCCTCCCAACGTGAAAGACGCTATGCAAATGTAATCTTGTTGTTGTTATGATCCTCCCACCTGGCCGTTCCTTTTGCCTTGTTTCATGTCTGCCATCCCACTTACCCCGCCATTTCCCTTTTGCCCCCCACTCTCTGGAGCTCCATTCCGTCTTCCGATTCGCTCCCTCTTTCAAGGCACACTCAGATTCAACTCTCTGACCATGCTTTTTGGAATCTTTTCCCCTGTCCTCCCACCCCACCTCCCGGAGCCCCCATTCCCAGCTCGGATGCCCAGTGTTGAGTGCTTTGAGACGTCCTTCCAACGTGAACAAGGCGTTGTGTAAATGTTATGTTATATTTCTGGGAATGAAACATAAAAATATTGCTTATGCGGCCCGTGGAGGTTTCTCAAAACCGTCATCTGACCCTCAGCAACCAAAACGTAGGCCACCCTGATCTATTAGATGAAAATATCTGGTGGATTTATGTTTTTTAAATCTACATTTTATTGTGGGTCACAAGAAAATATCATATTGCTCCACAAGTAGTTGCTAGTAAGTGTAGTGGCTGGCTTCTTCCACAGGAAAACATTTGTGCTAGCAAGGTCCCACAAACAACTATGAGATGAATATCCAGTTAAGCAAGAGGTCTGTTGGCTAGGACAATAGCCAGTCATGTACCGTAAGAGTGCATTGCGATTTGCTGATAGTCACTTCAATGTTACTCATCCAGATAGTGTCAAAGAAAGCAAAATTCTCTTGTCCCTTCAATGAGCTATATTTTCTATTTGAAAAGAAAAGGGAGTTTCTCCCAGTGTCCTGGCCAAATATCTCTGAGACAAAAAAATTGGTCATTCATTTATGGGACATTGCAGTGTGCTGATTAACTGTTGCACTCAGCTAAAAGTACAGTCACTACATTTTATAGAAAACTCTGAAGCTTTGATCAATTTTGAGGCAATAAGAAGCTACATCCAGATGCAAATATTATTCACTCCTTTATTTGTTTTAGGATGGCTGTTTTCTTTATTTTTATAAATTTTCTTTGGTGTTGAAAACTTCACCTTTAATCATTTTCACAAAACGATTCTGCTGCCTCAAAGAAATTGCTGCAGTACTCAATTGTAACCACTTGGTTGCATCATAATTAAAATACGTAGGTTAGCATTACCCTATTCTCATTGCTTGGTGTGCTATATAGAAAAGCAGCAGACAAAAATTTTGCGCACATTAGAGCATCACCAAGTGGCAGTGCTCATCTGGAACCACCCACAACTGCAGGCTGTGGACCACAGACCAGCCATGTGCAGTTAATTCACAGCACCACTGTATGTACTTATATGATACAACAAAACAAAAACTAGAGATATTATGATCTGCTGTACAAGCCAGCCATTTCTTCTTTACAGGAACCACCCAACGTGATTCCTGCAAGCTAGCCAGCTGCACTCACACACAGTGAAACCCATTATCACTATTGAGTGGCATATTACGGATCCTAAACACAGTATAATGAAACTGCACTATGCATTGTATAAATTACACATACATACACCTTACAAAGACCATATGCTAGAAAGATCCAATTCACAGTTGTCTTCAGAAAACTTAATGTAACAGTTCAGCAAACTGATCTTTTTTTGACTGAAAGAATGCAATATACACAGGAAGTCTATCAATAAGTTCAACAAATGCAGGCAAGTGTGCGCTATTTAAAGCACAACGTGCAATTTATCTGAATAGAAACATCCGTATAACCTAGGGCTGACCGTTGAGAAAAATGGCAAAACAAACTAATACACTTTTAATAAATAAGTAGAAGTACAGTAAATCTACTAACATTTGTTCTACTGTCCAGCTTATGTCTTCTTCGATTCTCAATGGTTCCTCAGGCTCGATCACTCTTCCCTGTTGATACATAACATGATAGATTTCACATCACAAGTACATATACAACTTTACAACATAGGCACATATCTCAGTTCAAATTGTACCAAACTTACTATCTTAGTTATCTTTGGGTTACGGCCAGCTGAACCATCTATTCAGAGACTACATTGAATTTAATTGTAATGATTGGAGAACAGATTTGGACAGGATTATTAAAGAGTTCGAGAATGCTTCATGTGTAAAATATTGATCTGAACCAATATTTTGGTATTTGCAGAAGGGAGGAATGTACTGAATTAGGATGAGTTTAAATCCTTCCGTTTCAGGATACAACATGCATTAACAAATGCTTTTTTAATAGAAGAGCATGTTAATACATAAATACTTCCAAGAAATACTTTGACAAGAGACTTGCCTTCATATAAGTCCTAAATTCAGAACTTAGAGCAGTGTCTCGGTCCTCTTCCACTTCCACATCGTTTTCTAGTTGTTTTGGTTCCAGGTCAAACTCCACTGAAGCAACATTAAAAATAAATGAGATTTGTACAAAATCAATGATCACACATTATAAAAATAAAAAAGATAAAAACAATGCAGTATTCTAACAAAATTAAAAGGCGATGCAGCAATACTCAAAGATGAAATAGTCAAACTAAAGTATTGCCAATATGACAATCTGAACTTCAATTACTAGACTCAATTACTGGGGGAAATGGTCGGAAATAAATCGGTGCCAAACATTATATAAAATCAGGCAAAACCTATTTTATTACTCAGCAAAGCTTAGTTCTTCCTAGTTCAGTATCTCTATATTGTCTCCCTGCCCTCCAGAAATCGAAATAGTGAAACCTTTTTATTTTCGCTCATATTCTCTCCCCTTCTGAATAGGTTTTTGACTCCTTTTTAGTGTTCATGATGTGCACATGGATCATTCAACATAGCAGAAGTATCTAGTAACATGTTAACATAATACAGCACTTGATTGCAGATTTGAATTTACGTTAGCTTTTTAGAACACAATTAAAGTTGTCAACCTCGCTCAGCTGGCAGCAGTCATGCCTTGGATTTGAACGTTGTGGGTTCAAGCCCCACTTTAGGACTGTAGTGTTCACAGTAAAACATGACACTCCAGGGCAATACTGGGAAGCACTGTATTATTGGAGTGCTGTCCCTGGATTAGAGACGGGTGTGCAGGAGGACCTGAAGCTTCTCCTCAATGAGCCCTTCCCATCGGTGCACACAGTGCCAAATGACAACAGCCCTAAAGACCTCTTCAGTCACATTATAATTGTATATCTTCTGAATGTGATTTAAATATCACAGGTAAACAGCTGGTCAGGCAAACCTAAAAAAAAATCTGAAGTATGCCTACTTACTCCAAGTGGGTAAACTGGATACAATTTACCTTGTTTTGATCTAATGTTCAAATAGTCCTCCTGCTTGTGGAACTGATCTTCCTCTGAGATATTTGCCATCTGGATTGTCAGACTGCCTGTATCTTCATCTGAGGGCTGAAAGTGGAAATCTCTCATTATGTGCAATGTACAAATGACAACACATCATCTATAAGCAGTTCGCAAGAAGATTTAAAAGGAAGACCCTTCTATTCCTTTGCTTTATTGAGTTTATAATGATATCTGAAAAGGATGCACATTTCTTTGAACCACTCCAATCCGGCTTCCGCACTGCCCACAGCACAGAAACAGCCCTGATCAAAGTCACTAATGACATTCTGAACATCTGTGATCAGGGCTCCCTCTGTCTCCTTGTCCTCCTCGACCTCTCTGTCGCCTTCGACACTGTCGACCACTCCATCCTCATACACCTCCTCCCCACTTTACTCAATCTTCGCGGACCTGCCCTTGCCTGGTTTGATTCCTATCTCTCTCACCATCTCCACTTTGTTGCCTCTAATCTTTTCTCCTCCAGCCCCCGCACTGTCACGCCTGGTGTCCCCCAGGCGCTGTCCTTGGCCCTCTCCTCTTTAATATCTATATGCTCCCCCTTGGTGACATCATCCGCAGACATGGGGTCAACTTCCATATGTATACGGATGACACCCAACTCTATCTTTCTGCCTCCACCTCAACTCCAGGACCACTGCTGTCCTGACAGACTGCCGGTCGGACATCAAGTCCTGGATGAGGACAAATTTCCTACAGTTGAATGTGAACAAGACTGAGGCCCTCCCGATTGGCTCACGCCAGTGCCTCTGCACCTCAGGCTCTGGCAACATCAACCTCCATGGTTGCACACTACAACTCACCAAGCCAGTCAGGAACCCAGGTGTCTTGTTCGACCCTCAATTGTCATTTCTCCCCCACATTCAAGCCATGACCCGCTCTGCCTTCCCTCACCTCCATAACATCGCCCGACTCCGCCACTACCTCACCCCTCAGGCCACTGAAACTCTTGTTCATGCCTTCATCACCTCCAGGTTCGACTATGCAAACGCCCTGCTTGTTGGCCTTCCCAACTCCTCCCTCCACAGGCTGCAGATAATCCAGAACTCTGCAGCCCGTGTCCTCTCCTGCACCAAACTCCATGACCCCATCTCCCCCACTCTCGCCCAACAACATTGGCTCCCTATCCTTCAGAATATCCAGTTCAAGATCCTGGTCCTCACATACAAAGCCCTTGATGGCCTCGACCCACCCTACCTCTGAACCTCCTAACCCCCTACTAACCCGTCCGTTCCCTCCACTCAGCCGGCTCTGGCCTGCTCCATGTCCCCCGACCCACCATTGACGAGAGAGCCTTCAGCCGCTCTGCCCCCAGCCTCTGGAATTCCATTCCCCAGTCACTCCACCTCGGCCCCTCCTTAGCCTCCTTCAAGTCCCGCCTCAAGACCCTTCTCTTTTGACCATGCCATTGGCCACCCCCCTTCCCCTCCCCTCTCTTCTCCCCCCTAACCCCAGCTCGGGTCTGAAATGCTGTACTCTGTCCAGTGCCTTGGGACGTCCTCCCGACGTGAAAGGTGCTATAGAAATGTAATCTTGTTGTTGTTGTATGTTGTTTTAAAAAATTCTGATTAATTTTCTTACTGCAGCAATTTGCTGTATCATCCATCCTGCTTCTAAATTAATCAATCAATCGATGAACATAGACATAAACAACAACAACTTGGATTTATACAGCACCGTTCCACGCCGGACAGCGTCTCATGAAGGCAGCAAGATCACAGTGATAGCAAATATTAGTTAGATGGGTGGAAAATTAGCTTTTCAACAGAAAGCAACTGATGACAAATGGGAAACGATCTACCTTGGGTCATTGTCTAGTTGAGTTATTTTGGATATCCTGGCATTTATTAATAATTATACAGGAGGACCACAGTTTGCAAGATTAAAAAGTGTTGCCATCAATTTATGTGGTTAGCTGACAAATGTAAGGCTAATGACAGTGGATTTTACAGAGAGATGGAAGGAAAAGGAAACTTTAAAGTCTACACATGAAGGGGAAGCCTCATCAAAGCTGAAATAGGAAAAGGGTTTCGGGTGGATTAGTACCATTTACTGAAATTTTCCAGTTAACAAGAAAGTTTTCTGCACACTCTGGGGTTCCTAAGCCTTGGCTCTTGCCAGCCTGCACCTAATACGCTTCAAAATTAGGTAAGCTGGATGGTTCCCTCAGGAGTGAGTGTACATTCCTTTCCAATACATGGGAATTTCTATGTGTAAATGTGATGCATGGAACTCTCAATTTGGTTTGGATACTTTTAAGCATGGTGATGGGTTTCCTGCATGTGTCAAAGACACCTAGCTGATCAAAAACGAGGTCTTGCCCCGTCTCTTTCTGTTTTGAAGTCCAGTCTCAAAACCTAGCTCTTCAAATGTGCCAATGTGAACCTCTCCCTCCCTCCTCTGCCTTGCTTGGCATTCAACCCCATCCTTGTAAAGTGCCCGAGACCTCACTATCCATGAAGGGCATTATACGAACGCAAATAGTTGTTATCAAAAAGGTTAACCAAGCTAACCAAGCCTTGGGCCACATGTTGACTGCAAATCCTAACAAGTTATATAAATTACCCATGTTTGATATGCAGTATTGTGCACAATTTTTAGTATCCTGACAAAATTACAAGCCTAAGTGATGCTAGACATTAGAAGAATTTATCACATATAAAGATAGAAATAGATATAGGGGAACAAACTCAAGAGAAACCCATTTGACCTACAGATTACTGAATCAAAAGTATGTGGATCACTCTTCTAGTAAGGAATGGAACTAATAACTATCTTTCAAGGAGTAGTTTTACCGATTCGTCAAAAGTATAATCCCTACTTACAAATAGGGACTTTTCTTTCCAACAAGGCAAGGCACCTAGGCATGCTATCTCTTTAAATAGAAACACATGATGAGGTTCCCCCCTTCCTGCTCCCCAATGACCTGTCCATCTTACTGTGTGAATTTACGTAGGGCAACATCTCGGAGCACTTCACAAGGACAAGTTTGGACACCGAACAAGAGAGAAGAGGAGGGGAGGTGGCCATTGACATGTTCAAAGAAGTAGAAATTGAGGCAGGATATAAAGACAGAAAGAGGTGTGCGATAGTTCTTTGAATGTGTGCTTCTTCTATGCTCAAGAATGTGTGTATTTTGTATATTTCCAAATGTTATTACTACCACCTGAATTTAGAAATGAATGTTTGAGTTGTCCCATTTCCAATATGCGTTGATTTATTGGCAGCTAATAAAAGACATTCCAAGGAATTAGCTCAATTTACAAAAGATAGCAGAACTTCCTTGCCCAGTTAAAACCTATCAATCACTTGCTGCATAGCAGTAGTTCCTGTACAGTTAGAAACAGGAGTAGGCCACTCAATCCCTCGAGCCTGTTCCGCCATTCTATAAGATCACGGCTGATCTGTCCCTCAAGTCCAATTACCCGACCTTGCCCCATATTCCTTAATATCCTGATCTAACAAAATAGCTATCCACCTCAGTCTTGAAGCTGTGAATGGATCCAGCATCCACGCCAGGGTTCATTGATTATCATTTGTGCTTAGCTTATTAGAATGCAAAGAAGAGATGGACTATGCCTGTAAAATGCTGAAAAGCATTTCTTAATCTCATCATTGGATAAACAGTTGAAAAGATCAAGGAGTTGGCATTAAGAATAATGTAGTTAGCTTCGATGGATCAGCTCGCACATTCTAAGCTTTGATGAGATAAATTGTCTCTTACTACACTGTAATTTCTACGATTCACTTTTATTTATCTTTTCTGACACTTCGTAGTTCTGCTGCCTGTTTTCTGCATTAACAGTGGAAGAAGAAGATCCAAACACATGCTAGTGATGGATACCCACTAACTAGCATTCTTGTCCAGCTAACTGGTCTAGCAAAATAATTGGATTTCTGTGCATGTCAAGACATCCAGCAGACCAAAACAAATATTTGAGACATTGTCTTCATAAGCTTGTAATGCAATCTTGCTGTTTGGACCATGGTAACACACTCAAAGGTAGATACTGCTCTCTACAAATATAAACCATTGCTTGTAAACAATTCCTTCCTTTCCCTAAGCTTACACATTGCAATTCAACGAAAATCTGATACCACAAAATTATTTTATTAGTCTGAAAAGCCTCACTTAGTGCACGCAATTAAATCTGCCTAGTAATATGCATACATAAATTCTCAACTTATCAAAATGAAAGGGTTTATTTTTAACAGTACGTAATTATATTTTAGTTAAACAAACAGAAACATATCTAAATATTAATTGAAAGTCTGTGTGGCAACAGAGGTTAGCTCCAGTGCTAATAATACAATATTACTCTGCATACAACGCACACTGGGAAAATCAATAGCAATAGTAGGCTGCATAATTAAAACATCCTTGGAATCAGACAATTCAAATTTGAACATATGTGGAAAACCAAATCGTTCAAAACTGAAAATTTAGAAGCATTCCTTTCTATATTTAAATATTATTTTATTTTCCTTGGTATTACTAGCATAATAACCAGTGACAACAGAAAAATAAGTGAATGCAAGTTAAGACTCTATAGCCAAATGACTTTCCTACATTCTCATACATTAAAGTAATAACCAGTTAACTCACAGATAAATTGGACTTATATTATGGACCTCCTAACTTTAGAGGTTTCACCTGTGAAAAACATGCNAAAAAAATGGAAATACTCACTTCAGTTGCAGATAAGCGTTTATCCCCATTATCACTCCCAATTCCAGAATCGGGATCTTGCTTTTTATCTGGATAAATGTCTTCAATGCTTAAGAAGAAAAACACAATGTGTTAATAATGAAAGCCTGAAATAAACTCAGTAAAGCCACCACCGATTACACCTCTTCTCTTGCAAAGAGCAGTCTCGACTCTCTGAAGACGAACAGTAATGAGTTTGCGCCATCAATAATTCCCAATGAACAAAAATCCATAGCAACCAAAAACTGTGTTCACATTTTGAAAATTCAATGACACTCTCACTTTGACTTATTTAAAGAACTTAAAAGTTAGATGAAGCTGATCAATTTTGCCATAAAAAAACTTATGTTACTGTACTTTCCTCTTCTAGTCAATTAATTGTTCTGCCCACTTACACAATTTTTTAAATAATTTGCAAATATGTCAAGAAGGATAACACTGTTGTAGAACAGAGAATTATGACAAATAATATATTATCCTCAAAATGTGTTTCAAGCCTGGGCCAATAGAAAAGTGAGGCCACAATTTTTCCACGGATTACGCTATAAACAGCACCTTCCGCTAAAAACCTGTAAAAAAAATGTTTCCTCGGCTACCTGGACCTCTCGCGCTGCTGCTGGATGTTTACTCAATGCTGCTAATGTGGGTGGAACGGCTCCCATGCACGATGCGGCACAATGGGTTTCGCTCACCCCGAGGCCTGCTGTTGAGATTGTCCGTGTATCTCTCTCCTCTGAATGTCTGTGTGTGTGAATATTTCTGTGCGAGTTCCTCCTCTACATGCGCGTGTGTTTATGAGTGTCTCTGTGTCTCTCTCTCCTCTGTCTGTATGTGTGTGTGTGTCTGTGTCTCCTTGGGTCTCTCTGTCTATGTGAGGTGGTGGGCCTGGAGAGGCAGAAGGTGGTGACCTCCTGCAGTCAGGGACACTGGCGAGCTTGGCGAAAACCTGCTTCAGGCCTTTTGCTTGCCAAGCTAAAGTCCGTGAGGGAGTTTGTAACTTGTCTCAGTTTAGAACATGATTAGGTTGTGGATCCCGGTATTAACACAAGGTTACGAGAAGATCTAATAGAGGTTTTCAAAATCATGATAGAAAGGAAAAACTGTTTCCACTGGTGGGTGTGTCGGTGACTTGAGGTCACAGATTTAAAATAGTTTCTAAAAGAAGCAGAGGGGAGGTGAGAAGAAATTTTTTCACGCAGCGAGTTGGTTGCTTGAATCTGGAACGCATTGCCTGAAAGGGTGGTGGAGGCCGATTCGATAACAACTTTTAAAAACGCGGTGGATGGGCATTTGAGGAGGACAGGGTTTGCTGGGTTATGGGGAAAGGGCTGGAGAGTGGGATTGATATTACATTGCTCTTTTCAAAGAGGTGGTTCCAAACATATCTGGTTAGTACTAGAGCCCAGGCCCCCCAAGTTTTTTAAGACAAATTCTTCAAAATCTCATGTACTCCCACATCTAGAAACTCCATATTATAATTTCCTACAGAATGCTACTGTGTTCTGCACCCATTTACTGTGGCACCAGATACCAGTGCTGGAATTGCTGCACTCCATTCTGCAATTTCAACAAAATCAAAAATAATGATCACATGAAATGAAAGCTATTTACATCTACTCAAAAAATGTAGGCTATACTATTACCTCACTACTATTACAGGTTTCACAAATAGGTGCACTCATAAGCTCCCTTAACTAGGTAAATACTGAGACCTGTAATATTTGACACGGTAGACCACTCAATCCTCCTCCACTGCCTCTCCTCCCACCTCAACCTTCAAGGCTCTGTCCTTGACTGGTTCAGGTCCAACCTTCACACCGCCTCCACTTTGTGGCGGCAAACGGCTTTTCCTCCAGCCCCCGCACTGTCTCGTGCGGTGTTCCTCAGGGCTCTGTCTTCAGTCCCCTCCTCTTCACCCTCTACATACTCCCCCTTGGTGACGTCATTCTCAGACATGGGGTAAATTTCCACATGTATGCGGATGACACCCAACTCTACCTCTTTGCCTCCAACCCTAACTCCAGGACTACTGGTGTCCTGACCAACTGCCTGTCCGACATCAAGTCCTGGACGAGAGCCAACTTTCTCCAACACAACCTCAGCAATACCGAGGCCCTCATGATTGGCTCACGCCAGCGCCTCCGCACCTCAGGCGCTGGCAGCATCAGCCTCCACTGCTACACACTCAACCTCACTAAGCCAGTCAGGAACCTGGGTGTCTTGTTTGATCCTGAACTGTCCTTTCTCCCCAACATCCGCGCCATGACCGGCACTGCCTACCACCACCTCCACAACACTGCCAGACTCCGCCACTGCCTCACCCCTCAGGCTGCCGAAACCCTCACCCATGCAGTCGGCACCTCAAGGCTTGATTACGGGAATTCCCTCCTCATCGGCCTTCCCAACTCTTCCCTTCACAAGTTGCAGATCATCCAAAACACTGCAGCTTGTGTACTCTCACGCACCAGGCTCCATCACTCACACCCTCGCCTAACTCCACTGGCTCCCAATCCCCCAGAGGATCGAGTTCAAGATCCTCGTCTTCACCTTAAGGCTATCCATGGCCTTGTCCCCTCCTACCTCTCTGACCGACTGACTCCCTACGAGCCTGTCCGCTCCCTCCGTTCATCGGGCTGCGGGTTGCTCCATGTCTCCTGCCTGACCATCGGTGGCCGGGCTTTCAGCCACTCTGGAACTCCATCCCACGGTCCCTTCGCCTCGCTTCCTCCCTTGCCTCCTTCAAGTTCGGTCTCAAGACCTTTCTCTTCGACCGTTCCTTTGGTCTCCCTCCCACCTCTCTGCCTTCCCTCACCCCTACACCACACCCCCTCCCCCATGCTCGGGCCCTGACACCTGACTGTTCAGCGCTTTGAGACGTCCTCCCAACGTGAAAGGCGCTCTATAAATGTAATTTTGCTGTTGTTGTATTAACTGATACATTTCGTTTCATGGCTGTTAATGGGACATTGTTGCGCAAATTGGCTGCCACATTCACCTACAAAATATAGTCATTACAGTTTATAGTAATCCTGTGATGAAAGGATTATTTTATTTATAATAATTATCTTTGCATTTGATATAGCGCTTTTCATGTCTTCTAGAAGTTTCCAAGCGCTTCACAGAATATATTTATAGTGTAAAGTGAATTGACTGGATATTTGTGGGTGAAACATGGCAGCCAATTGTGCAAAGCAATGTCCCACAAACAGTCGTGGATTGAAATGACCAATTTTTTTTTTTTTTGAGGGCTTATTATCAGGCGTGTGGAATAAGGAAACTTGCCCGAGGTTTCACCTTGCCGGGAATCAAACCCAGGTCTCTCGCTTGCAAGGCGAGTGCTCTAACCTCTGAGCTACAGGACTGCACTAAACTATTTTATTTACTAAATTGCCTGGCTTCTAATGGTAATATTCATTATGTATTGTAAAAATGCCATAGAATTCTGATCAGATCAAGGTAATTTAAAAAAACGTTTTTTTTAAACTTAAATAATCAAAACAAGTTAACTTTTTTAAAAAAAGTTTTCTTGCAACTTTCAGTCAGTAGGCCCAGTGGTAAGCCATACTACTAATAAGACAGTAAATCAACCGAAATAAAGAAATATAAATAAACCTACAAGAAGGAATGGGCATAGTGAGGCAATTATTGGGCACACAAGTAGCTTCTGATTTTTAAATCAAACCCAGCACTGAGTTATTTTGCACAATACAGCTTACTATAAATTAGAACACGACTTGAGACCCCAATAAAATTCTCTTGAGTACTGAACACTAGGAGGAAGCAAAGTTCCATACTGCCAGCACAAAACAATTCTTACATGAATAGATATTTTTAGAACTGCTGTGTTTAAAAAAAACACATCCCAGAAGAAAGTAACTCCTTTATCTAGGTTTCATCCAATCAATTAAGATGCCTTGTACCTATAGTACTGAATACAGAATAGTGCCTCAAAAATACAGCCAAAATGCATTGGAAATACATCTTTCAAAGTTTTCAAACCATATTTTAGCAATTATTCTATTAACAACTTAATGCCGTCCAGCGTGGAGGGCACTATATAAATCCAAGTTGTTGTTGTTGTTGTAATGCTTTCCATTAGGCATTGTCACAGCTTAATGACCACTAGAGCTCTAAAAATAGCACTGTTATCAAACATATCACTCTTAAAAGTGATATGCACCAACAACCCCATATAGAGATGAACACCATTTTGGAATAAACATTTTGTTGAGCTGTGCTGTAAATATGCTCATATAGTACGTGATTTGGTGGAATCCTGTAGCTCAGTGGTTAGAGCACTCGCCTCGCAAGCGAGAGACCTGGGTTCGATTCTCGGCAGGGCAAATGTTGGGCAAGTTTCCTTACTCCACACGCCTCTGTTTATCTAGCAGTATGTAAGAACCCAGTTGTTAGTCGATTGGTGGATCACTTTTCCAGGGATAATTCCTTTAAAAAAATAATAATAAATTGGTCACTTCAATCCACAACTGTTTCTGGAACACTGTTGTGCGCAATTGGCTGCCGCGTTCGCCCACAAATATACAGTCGGTTCACTTTGCAGTCTATTCTGTGAAGCGCTTTGGGACGTCCTCCCGACGTGAAAAGCGCTATATCAAATGCAAGGATTATTATTAATTGGCTGCCACGTTTCGCCCACATAATATATAGTCAATTCCTTTACACTATATTCTGTGAAGCACTTTGACACATTTCAAAGACATGATAAGGTGCTATATCAAATGTAAGGGTTATTATTATTATTAAGCTCTTTATGTAGTATCTTTTCAGCACGTTTTGAAAAGCTAGAATTAAAACAATGGGACAAACTAAAAATAAAAATGGGAACAGAAGCGAACATTACAAAGACTGATTGGCAAGCACACACACAGTGTGCAACCAATCCATACACGGAAATTAACTGTAAGACTGTGCATAGATGTTTTCCCAACCCCATCCAGTATCTCTACACTCCCGAAATGTGCAGTGGCTTCACACTCATCTCTCCTATTGTTTACTTTGTTGCACTCAATAATTCTTTCAGCAGCTTTTGAGTACTTAGCAAATTCATGATATATGAGAAGCACCTGCCAATGTGCAGGAAATGCCAAGCATTTTTCTGTATACTGTGGGAATCGGCAGAAGAATGAGAAACTGTATCTAATGCTGCAGTTTGTGACTGCAAATCATTTTAGTCAACTTCTTAGACATATTCCCCACACCACATAAACTAAACATTTCATTCAGAAACTTGTCAAAAATTCAGGAAAATAAATTCATAGGTTCGACTTTATTCAATTATTTCAAAATCAGTTTTTGTGACCTTGAACAGTCAAATCCAAGACTCAGGTCTATCAACAACATGTCTGAATACTGTCAGAGCACATCTCAAACCAGATTCAGCAGGATTATAAGTGTGCACAGCTGATTGATCGCTGGCTATTATTGTCCAATCTGCTCTTGAAAATAATGCCTCAAAGATTTAACTTCACCTTCATCACCATTTACAAAGATTTACAATTTTACAAAGAATGTACAGCACGGAAACAGACCATTTGACCCAACCAGTCAGTGTTTATACCCATTCCTTCAAACAGTCTTTTACGATCTCCCTTACCCTTCTATTACATTATCCCTCATATGAAGGTCAAGTTTCCTATTAAATGGATTTATACTATCTGATTCAACCCCCGCTTCATTCAGCTACTAATATCACCATCTGGAAGCAGCAAGTGAAGGCCATTACCACAGAGGTGGTGGTGATGGCAATGGTGATGGTAGGATTCTGTGAAAGGTTTCTTCTGTAAGATGAGAAATTCAGTCAACAATTTTACATCAGAGCAAAGGCTCAAGACAACAAAGAATGAGTTTGAAACTCACCTCCCTCCAACAGGTTGCGGTACATTTGCCTTCTCTATAGGCTGCTGATAAGGGGATTCTGCAGTCTTGTCGATTCTACAGGCCTCTATGTTCAGATACTTGAATATGTGAACTTTACCCTTTATGCAAATCTGCAAGAGAAATATTCCTAAACTTCATTCCAAAATTACAAGGTCAGCCAGACGGGGGGCGGTGGGGGGGGGGGGGGAATATTTGCACAAACTTAAACTGCTGATGAATACACTGGATTCAGTTAAACACTTTCCCCTCCCTACCATTTATTTTTTGAAAATTCACTGTGTAGAATAAATGATTTCTTTATAGACATCTTAAGCAATCTGTGGCACTGAAATAATTAGTTGCTATATGTGTTAATATAATGCTTGTAATAAGTTGTGTGACTACAGCATGAACATTGTCCTGCATTTGAGACAAGGAAACCTAAAAGCCATTAATTGGATCTGGTGAATAATAGCAATGCGTGTATGAGGCACTATATCAAATGCAAGTATTATTATTATTATTATACGCACATTTCTTCTGAATTTTCACATGCTTTCACAAACCTACATGTAAACTCAAACTAACGTCACTTACTTCACCATTTATTATGTGCCATGTGTAAACTGTGTGTTCATAGGGAATTACAGGAGCCCTTTAGAATGGGAATGAACCAATGAAGAGGATTAGATGCTAGTTATATAATTAATAAAGCTGTTTTCAGTGGTGGTCAATTGCACAATTATCGGTACCTGTGAATCCCTGACTACACATGGAGAAATACATACATGTTTACACTTAATAGAACCTAGTATCAAAAACAAACAAATCTTGGAAAAGACAAGGCATTTCAAACATGAACAATATGCTATAATTCTGGTACTTCGGCAGTAACGTCAGAACATTTCCCCAAAAAATGTTTCCATTCATTTAAAGATGACAATGAGTGACTCATCTTTTCACTTAGAATCATAGAATTTCTGAGTTTAGGAGGAGGCCGTTTGGCCCATTGTGCCTGTGCCAATTCTCATGAAGAGCTACCTGGTTAATCCCATTCCCCTGCCTTGCCCTCCCCATACACTTTATATTTTTCTTTTTCAAATATTTGTCTTCAAATCACTTAAGTGTTGTTCAGCAATTTTCTATTTGCCAGAAAATCTGGTTTGCAGGTTACTATCATCCTGGCATATCTAAAGAGTTTTAAGTTAATGATGTACAGCACTTGTGTGTATGTTATGCAAAAGTTTGCCTTGTACAGTTTCCACATTCTTTTGCAGTGCAACACTGCACTAATAAAGATAATCTTCATGCTAAGTGAGTAAATGTTCAATATACTAAAATGAACCATTCAAGACAGTTATTTTCCATTTCAATTTATAACACAATAATTAAAACTTTAGAATCAATTGAGCAATGATTCCAGTTAAACCTGACAGGGATGTTCATTTCTTTCCACTCCTTTGAAGAATTAATCATATTTTGGAAACCATTCATAAATAATAATCCAAAATATGATTAAGGAATGCTATGTCTTAATACATTAAGATCAAGTCTGAGAATGTCAAAAAAGTATACACAGTTCGTTATTTGGGTTCTGAATTTATAGTAAAACTAAATGACAAAAGAGCCAGCAAAACATATCCTGCTAATTAGTATTAACAGTCCAATCAATTCCTAAAACAAGGAATAACAGCTACTCTGTTATTCCATGTTCATAACACATTCATCCAGCATTGTGTTTCCATGAAACAGGGTGGTCCAACCTTTTGGCTGCTGAGGGCCGGATGCCCTATTTGAGAAACGTCCGCAAGCCGCATAAGCAATATTTTTCTGTTTCCCTTCCAGAAACATAACATTTATGGGTTATGGAGGGAGAGGCCAGATGAAACGAGTGGGTGTGCCAGCTCACAGGCCGCCACTTGGACCACTCTGCCATAGATCATGAAACTGCACTTGATGGCCTTGGCTTGGGTAAATAATAGACTATCCTGTGCACAGCCACATAATGGAACTGTACTCCATGTGAAACAGAGCAGAATAATGGATGCCAGATAATCTAAATGAGGAGTTATGCATCTCTTTTTAAATACAATTAATTTCCCGATATAAGTAAACAGTCATCTAAAATCATCTAATTGTGTGTTGGCAGGTAGTGAGGGGCGTCCATTGCAACAATCTTCTTTAATAATTTGATACATTAACAGTGCAATGAGATGAATACGACCTTCCCTCCCTGATTAATCCAGCTACATATAAAAATGCTTTAGAATCACAAATCAGTTATGTTAATAGATGGTGAGGATAAAAACAGTATTAATACAAGCAAGTTAAACAAATAATTAACTGAAAGGCTGCACCAAGTCATATGGAGAATTAAGGATTTGGCAGAGAGGGGGTGGAATTACATTATGCGGATAAGGAAGATTGCCTCCAAAGTAAATATGCAATGTTCTACTTCGTTCAAACTCCACATATGAATGAATTATGCCAAAGTATAGTGGATCCTCCAAAGCTAAACATGAGTGGCAGATGTCAGATCAAAACGGTTCTTTTGTAAGCTATTCCAAATAGTTACTTTACAGGTAGCATCATGAGAGCACTTTTCTAAATTGGCCCATGATCTGGTCAAGGTATGAGCTATGCAAGCTTTCACACCTCCCAAGTGTCTCTGATTAGCCAACAAGTAACTTGACAAAATAGCTCTGCAACCAGTTAAGTCAGAGGATGGTAGGCAAAATCATTACGAAATGTTTTCGAGCCAAATAGAAAAACACAAATTGTCCTCATTGCTTGATGAAGCTCTTCAAATACTTCAGTCACCTTTCCCCTCCCCACCCTCTTCAGCTCCCACCCACCTAGGTCAGTTATCCAGTCAGCAGTGCAATATCGTCCTGGCATGATAGGCGATATATGAATGCAAATTGTACTGTATTCTATAATATGGCTCTGCGAACTCTATAAAGCGATACACATCTGCTAAATGAAAGATGGATAAAGTTGCAGATAGAATTGACAACATTGCTTCCAGAGACAAATGAAACTAGGGTATAAGTAATCAGGTTTGATCTAAGATTGCCCTATTTGTATAATATTTAAGATGAATCTGCTAGCAGAGGAGGAAATTTACTAACCTCATCAATTAAAATAAGTTCTGAAATTTCCTAGACATATCAATCGAAACAACTTCTGAAGCTTGCTACCCCCATCAAATGAAATAAGTTCTGAAGCTTGCTTGCCCCATGAGCAGAGTGAGCACAAAGTAGCAGCCTTAAAAACAAATTGAGGATTCCAAGAAACCATTGGGTCAAATGGCTCGAACATCAGTTTGCGCAGAACAAGATTTACATCCCAGATTGGCGTGGCTTGATTTTCAAATGTTTACATTTTCCAGATTCCCTTTGAGAATCTGAACCACAGCAGCTGATCATCAACTGAATGTCCCATCAACAGCGAAAGACAGGCTACAACAGCTGCCATATAAACTAGACCATAGCCCTCAATCCAGTGAATACCATGTATTAGCAAGGATAGCTAGGACATAATATGCTAGGCCCAAGGGATCATTATTGTGGCAGAAATAGGATATTGTATTTGTTAACCACTGTAGACTTTAATCATGGGAGCTTTCTTGGATATTGGTAGAGTATTCATGATTGAATGTGGTAATCCTGTGTAACTAAATTGACTCTTAAGAACCATCGCATTGAACTTATAAGCAAAATATAGGGACAAACCTGTCTAAATCTGAAGCCATTTCAAAAGAACATTCAAGTTGATTCCATAAAATGGACTAAACCTACTAACCTGTGCTGGTGGAGACTGAAGAGGGTTATTATCCAACTCGATTATCTGCAAATGCCTCATATTTCTGAAGCAGATTGGTATTGATACAACTTTATTACAAGAGAAGTCTAATTTCATGAGGGGGAGTTCTGCAAGCTCTGGAACGAAAAACAACATAGATTCGACAATTAAAAACAATTGTTTCACTGCTTGTCACAGAAATAGGCAAGATACTAAAAAATTAGAAAACACTTTCACCCTCTGGCAAAATGTGCAGATAATTTCGTCGGATGTTCAATTCTCTGAGTGACTGAAGTTGTCCTATGTGTTGTGGCAACGTCGTAATTTCATTGCAGCTCACATCCTGCATATTAAAAAAAAGGAATCATCAATGTTTTCCCTTGAGATAAAAAGTTGAAGTCTATCTGATTCCACAAAGGGCTGTACTTTCCTAAATGATTACATCAATTATACAGAAACTGTAATCAAATGCATTTAAATCTCACAGTTCTAATCTTGCTCAAGAGAATGATTCAATTAGAGGGCTGAATATACCATAAAGAGAACTGAAGCGAGCTTCTTCACAAAGGAAGAAAATATATTAGGCATGCCATTGTTGCATATTCTTAGGAGAAGTGCACAAGCAGTGTTTTCGCAGTGTAATGGATACAACTTCATATCACCAAACTGGCATATTGTACGAAGGTCACCAGGACTGGTCTCCTTCATGTGCTACTTTCAGCAACCTCCGTTCTTTGTTGAGAAGCCATGAGTTGAAGGACTACTCCATAGAATTCAGACAGTAGGCATTTCAATGAGTGTGCCTCGGACTCCGGTGGCATGAGTGTTTGATTCGGTGTAACCAATTGTGATCCATGGACGATTTCCCTTGCCTCCCTCTTGCCCCAATAAAACATGTCCACCCCATTTTGGTCATTCTGCACTGCAGGCCATTTACTGGCTAATGGGACAGGTTTCCTGCTCTTGTGGGATGTCTGAAAATATTTACAAGGGGCTTGACTACTTCTATCCTCATTTCCCTCAGGAATCCAAGATGTGTCCTATCTGGCCTTGGTGCCCTACGGACATTTAAAGCCTTTGATGTCAACTTGTGTTTCACATTCCTGAGCCAAAACAATTGGATCTGGAGTCTGAACATCTTCTTGTGTGAAGACAGATATGAAGAATTCCACACAGAGTACATTTATTCAATACAGTTTTAGAAAGAGAATGCTTACCAGTTCCATTAAACACTTCAACTGTCCAATGTTTTCTGGAAGTGAAACTAACTTGTTGTTACTGGCTATTAAGACTTTAAGCGGAAGGGCACAGAGGCATGGTGGCAACAAGGAAAGCTGGTTTCGACTGGAACAAAGACAAAATAAACCTCTTAGAAAAGCTATAAAATGAATGGTCACATTTCAGAAGATCATTCACTCAAGTTTCATTCATCAGTTTACTGTATAATGTGGGGTTTTAACCCCATATGTCATGTACTTCAGTCAACTATTTACAATATGGGTGCGTACCTTTTACAACTCTTTTCGCACAAACTAGCAAGCTAGTAAAATAGGCACAATAGGGTCCGAATTGTCAAAAAAGATTTTAAAATTATCCAGATTGCCATTTTTAATAAACAAACATCTCTTAGATTGTTCAGTGAATCATTTTCTTGTGTCCATTTAGACATCGTTCTTAAAATATGGTTACAATAAAGAGCACTTTATAAAACAGAACCATGTAGCCATTTATTTCTTTATAACCGTTAGCCGTTTTACAAAAACTGACAGGAATAATCTGCTGTGACTTGGAATCAGCAGGACTGTGCCTTTCTTTGCTCCTAGGGCTTGAACTAGATCCTAATTCAGTTATACAGGTGACTATCGCATATCCAACAATTACAGAAATGAGCAGTCAATAAAGCAGCATATTATTTATTAATATATAATACAACTTTGCTAATTCAAAATCATTCAAAAGTGGTACTTTGCTGTCTTTATTAAGGTCCCTTTTTAAATTTCTGATCATTAATCTTGGCAGGTGGACAGACAGAATGCTACTTGTTTGTATGATGCCATTTAGTCACATAACGTAAGAGCCATGTTGCGACTGGATGACTATTATTCATCGCTCTGTGTAACTTCCTCGATTTGTAACTCGTCTTCTATTATATCACAGTCGGAGTATGCATTTTAATGTTTGGATGAATTGAATTAAATAAGCAGCAAAAAGAATCTCTAAAAACTAGCAAGACTTTCAAAATATGTAATGCAGGGTTTGATTTTTATGGCATTCTGCCGTATGACTATGTTTGGGATCAAATGCTAGTAAATGCCATTAAAACGTTTTACTGCTTCCAAACAAATTCCAGCTATTTCGGTAACAAGGAACTGAAAGCTTTGTAAATTCCAGGCAGCAATCAAGTCAGTTTTACTATTCTGTGAGTATGAAGTTTATTAGATATTATAATCCCACAGAATTTAAATACACACATATGCATGCAGTTAGAGAACGTTTTAACTGTTGTAGTTGCACAGATTTATCCAACATTAAAGCATTAAGAGAAATAATCAAAAAAAGACAAATATTTTATTTGTGACTCTCACTTTTGCAACTGCAAGTTCCTTATTTAATAACCTGGCTATAAAACATAGCTCCAGTGTTATTATACTGTAATTTCCTTGTACCAGTGCAGTTCACTATATTGGAACCTATGCAGCCGTCAGAATCTTCTTAGACCGTTTTGGAAACAATACAATGTGAAAAATCATATAGGAATGCTGGAGGCCGAGAATCTGCTCCCATGACTTCAGTCCAGAGGCAGCTCTCAAATAAACTCAAGTCTTGGAGAGATATGGTGGCTCAAACATTTCCCCACTATTAAGGCCATGTCTCTCTGTGTTTTGAACTGTTGCCACCTTCTATTTCTGAAGTACAGCTCTGGTGCTTGTGGAGCTCCTATGAATATTAGAGCTTTGTCTAAAATGAATCCTCTTGGATTAGGCCAGCATATTCTGCTACATAGACTTCATTCAAGAACAGGACAAGACTTGGTTGCAATGCTCCAGGTCAAATAGCCTACAGGCATTCAATGAGGTTTTAGATAAGAAATTAACAAAAAGCAACTCCTGTAGGTATCCAAATATGGATCAGGGAAGCCCTCTCGACCTTATTTCCTGCTGAACACCTCCTTTGACCACAAATCTGCTTTACTGAAGCAGGAACTGGATTTGGTGTCCAAGCAGGAGGAGAGTCGGCCTCACAAACATCCAGGATTGGTATGTTTGAATTTCGCATTTTAGATCCATTGTTTCGACTCGCACATGAAATACAATCAGCTTGTACAGGGTGATTGTACAGTCCCTAATGATTGTGAGCTGATTTGTGATCAAAAGAGGACAGGTAAGGAGAGAAAATTGGGAGTGAGAGAATAAAGAAATGAAAAAGCAGCACCTTCATCTCAGTGATCAGGTACAGCAACCAGTTATAAGCCACAACTCATGGTATAAACTCATCTAAAGTGCTGATGGTTATTACTGCTGAGTATTCATTTTCGAGCTCCATCACACTCTGGTTAAACCATTTGGGAAAGCCAAACAATCGGACTGCTCAATTTTAATAGTCCACTTATCCACTGTGGAAGAAATCACATTGCAGTGAGAATACAAACCACAAAACTGCACGTTTCGTGCTTATATAATTGATGCATAATAAAACTAATTCAGTGAGGCCAGAACAACTAGTCATTAATGTATTCTCTGGTGAAGTTCAAAGTACCATTCTCTTATGAAGCAAAAGTAGCTTGATTTGTTTATTTCCTGATTGTCTTCTCTTGTCCAACACAAATACTTCAACTAGGCAAAGGCCAATGATCTTTCCGGTTGATAATGTCTCACCTCAAGTTTAAATAGGTCAGCATCTGCAGATTGATAACCATGTCTGGAATGACTCGAATGCAATTGTGATACAAGTTTAACATCTCCAACGAGACGAATTGGCACAGCTCCACTGGAATTTCACTCAGTCTGTTCTTCGACAGATCTGCCAACAAAACAAATTAGTACATCTTTTAGAAACAAGTTGGGAGGAAAAGAGGCTGAATGCACGAATTTAAAATCTTACTGTGCCTTCTTGATGGTAGCACTGCAGGATAGACAGTCATAAAATAGTACAAGTTTGTCACAATTTTAGAAGCAATTCTCAATAACTTAAGACATCAATGAATAACACAAATCAGGAAAATTTAACTTTCCAGTGAGGTGTCAAAAAAATTAATTCCAAATATTGATATTGATGCAGTGCTGTGAACTTCAAAAGGCTGTAGTAATAAAACCTAAGTATTGTTCACAGAATCCTAGAAATATTAGGAGGCTCTTCAGGCCATCAAGCCCAAGATGGTACTCGCTTATCCACTGGAGCTAACTATTCTAACCCTATTCAGCAATCCTAAATTTTATTCTCTAAAATACTAGATTAAGGCAAAATTTTTACTTGTTGGCATTAGCAATGCTCAATTTTTCTCAGTCTATATAATCCACTAGAGTAACAAGGAGGCCTTGTCATTTTTTCAGATTTATATCTTTCAGATTTAGTTTGCTTGCAAATGACAAAGTGTAGCTCTGGTTTGCCATCTCAACCTAAAGATCATACCCTCAATCATTTGCTACTGTCAGCAAATTCCACTAAGAACATTGATTTTTGAAATGTTGTGAAAGATTACTGGCCTAATTATATATCAGCAGAACCTCAGTATACTGCGAATGGCTCCACACACAAATTCTAGCTCTGAAAGCTCTGAAAAGCTGATCCAAAACACTAAGCATATGTGGGTTACTAAAGCCATTCACTGCTCAGAGATTAATATGCATAATTATGCACAGCAGGATTGAATTCAAACTGCATAAGTGACAGTGGTGTGCTACTAGAGGTGCTAATGTCAACCTGAAGTACACAGCTTGAATAATTCAGAATATTAAGACTGATTTCCAACATTGCTGTAGTATTTGATTGTACTTTAAATGCCCCTCTCTCTCTTTCTGCGCTCTTATACAGTCACACAGATTAAATCTGAAAGTAATTCAAATCCTTGGCCTGTCACTTTCTATGGTATTTCTCTAGTGATTTATTTTTGTTCACCTTTTTCTTCTTCCCATACTCCAAAATCCCTGGCCAAATAGTTTGCCTCTCTGAGATGTCCTCCCATTGCTCTGAACTGACTGTATGGAATTATGCAAGGTCAGAACAGACAATTCAATCGTCTGATACCGTCTTCACTCCTTCAGCAAAATGTGTGGTCTCTCAATATTTCCCAGAAAGCAGCCTTAACTCACCACATAGGAACCTCGCTAATGCACTGTGAACTTTTCTATATACAGTATATTATACATTTTACATAAAAAAATTAAGTACACTGCACACAAGAAAATGCAATAGTTTCCAGAAGCACAGCCTCTGATTGAAACAGAAATGGATTGTTTATGGCCCAGTATCCGAAGTAGCAACACAAAATATTAAATCTCCATTAAGCAAGAAATGTGAGCCCGTTGGCAGAGCGTGAAAGCTTAACGTCTCTGTCACAGAAATCACTGTTCATTGATATATAAAAAAAGGATAACCCCAGACACCATTAAATCAATTATGCACAACCTACTTTTTAACAGTTACTCCCACTTCATTATAATGATTAAATCCATTTGGAACGTTTCTGAACAGACTTATTTTTAGATTTAATTTCAAGAATCAAAACTATACTTCAGGGAAAACCATTTCTATGAGATAATTGTGCATATTAATCCTCTGAGGAATTAATGTATTTAGCAACCCACAGACCTTGAGGCACTATTGCAGCCTCCTCTAGAAGGGTTTAGTATTTGTCTTCCACATTTTTGGATGGGTGATATCTGAACAGTAAACAAAGTAACACTGATGCGTTGTTTCTACATTATAAGCAAGCAGCAATAGACACATTACACATTTAATTTGCACTGAAAGAGTTATAATTATCAAATCAATACTGGACAAAAACTTTTCAATGCTGAAGAGGTTGTTAAGTTCACAAATCAAGTGCATGAATTGAAGAACAGCAGAGGGATCTCTTCACCCACAAAATACAGTCAATCCAATTCATGTTAGATCTTGTGAAGCACTTTGAGACGTCTTGATGCACTGTATCAAATGGAAGGATTATATCAAGATATATAAGAACTGATGCATTCTCTGTGCTGAGAAGGCAAGAAGGCAGGGATTCCACTTTACTGGTACAAACCATACAATAGATACTTGAGGGGTTAATTCTATCAGTTCTTCGGCTGAACTCAACTCACGTCTATTTAAATCCTTAAATAAGCTTCCCTTTCAAAGCTGAATCTCACTATGCTGAAGCGGGTCCAACCCAACAAACGCAGCCGAACACCTGACCCCCTTAATTCAAATCTAGACTGAATCCTTTCATAAACCCTGCTTCCTAAGAGAATTCATCTTTGAATTTGAGAATTTGACTGGTCAGTTGAAGAAGATAGATGGGACAGGGAGAAAGAAAGAGAGAGAGAGAGAGAGAGAGAGAGAGTGGCGAGATCATCACTCCTATATATTTCAGGAAATTCCACTCTTTCTATAGCTTCTGGCTCCACTCGCATAGAACGAGTTACTCGCTGGACATAGAGCTTATGCTCCCACTGAAGAAAGAGTTCACTGTTTTCTCCAAAGGCAACTTCGAAAATGTTGATTTAATGTCCTTTTACACCCACACACTCCAAAGTAATTGCAGCAACACATTTACATAATGGAGAAATATCAAAACTATTTTTGCAGTAAATAATTCATAGGACTTTATAAACCCAAGAATGAGAAGGGAAGTGCATAGTGTGAGACTTTGGCCATCACCGTTCAAACAACCAGCTGCGCAAAAGACATTTTTGAGGTAAATGTCAAATGCCAATGTGGTCAGAAACAGCAGTTGGTTTACAAATACATTCAAGAAACGAGTTATTAAATGAATAGAAACAAGGCACTTTGAAAAAGGGTGGACAAAGTTCTCCCAGTGAGTTTTTTTTAGCTACACCATAGAGACGGGAATAATCAGGAATAACCAAGAATAATCAGCAGTCAGCGCAAGTCTCTGATGACAAGTAGGACAACAGTAGAGAAGCTATAATTCTCCTCAGCACTTTGGGATAGAGAGGGCAAAAATCAGCCAAGGTTTCATTCTATTTATTCTTCTGTTGGAGGTGTGTATGTGATTTGGGGCAAGCACAGCTGGCATGGCTTGTCACAGTGCAATAGACTTATCAATAATGGCTGCTCAGAGAAGGTATTGCAGAGGGTCTGCAGCTCATGATACCATACCACAGAAAAAAGTCAAATGCCTTGAGGAGAGGAGAAAAGAATTGATGGAAAAAAGTTACTGCAAAAAAATTGATGAGACCTGCATGCAAATTGCATTTTCCAGCAGAGAACACTGGATAATGATCAAGAGGAGAAACCCTGACTGATTTATTTCTGTCTAAACTCAGGAGGGTAAAAGCTAGGTATAGCACCTCACTTACTGCCTTCACTGAGATCAGATCACTAAGCAGGATTCAAACCCGGGTTCCTTCCTCATCTGAATGAACCCGCCTTATGCCAGGCAGTATATTAAATTATTAGCTTGTTATGGAACCAAGAGAACTACAGGCAGTTTCACGTTTGAACTGTAAATATTTCAATCATTTCTTTTAAATTAACAACGTAAATAGAATTTTTGACTGAGGTCAAAGAAATAAACCAGTGTCATTTCAGACAGAATAAATGCAAAGAAGCTTCAGGCTGCAATCCTTCACATCCCCACAGTAATTAGGATATTCAGATACCAAGGTCACAGCTGAAGATCCTGTTAAGCCTGACAGCTGTAAGAAACCAGGGGCATAGAAGGGATGTCAACAGCACAACTACATGAACTGTACATTCCCCTACAAATGCCATTGACATCAGTAACAGTGAGGGAGAAGAGAAGGATCTGCAGCAAATCTAACATTCATACTGGTCATGGATTCTCTTCACAGGTTTCCCTGAAGCCATCCAACCAAACAACAGTACAAATATAGACAAACAGTTTCTATAGCTTTCCTTCTACGGCTTTTCTTTGTTGCAGTTCTTTCCAGGCTGTGCACTGTCTGTCCTCTGGTCAATCTGACCTGGATACCACAATTGGCTGTTCTTGAGCCAAGAAAATATTATTTTTCTCCCTGTGGAGAAACAACCTCACTGCTTCACTGGTTTTTAGACTGAAGTACGGTGGTTTTGTCCATTTTTCTTTACCTGAATTTGGATAACATGAAACCTGTAGCGTAATGGTTAGAGCACTTGTCTTGGAAGCGAGAGAGGTCCTGGGTTTGATTCCCAGCAGGGTGAAACCTTCGGCAAGTTACCTTACTCCACACGCCTCTGGTTACCTAGCGGTAAGTAGGAACCTGGTTGCCCCTAGGCTCTGGAACTCCATCCCCCGGTGCCTTGCCTTGCTTCCTCCCTTTCCTCCTTCAAGGCCGGTCTCAAGACCTTTCTCTTTGACCGAGCCTTCAGCTCCCCTCTCGACTCTCTACCCCCTCCTCGCTCCCTCCCCTCACCCTGACCATTTCCCCCCCTGCTCGGGTCCCGACCCCCGACGTGAAAGGCGCTCTATAAATGAAATCTTGTTGTTGTTGTTAGTTGATCAGCGGATTGTTTTCTGGGAGTAATAATCCCTTTTAAATAATAATAATAATTTGGTGACTCAATCCACAGCTGTTTCTGGGACATTGCTGTGTAAAATTGGCTTTATTTCGCCCACAAAATATACAGTCAATTAACCTTATAATATATTCTGTAAAGCGCTTTGAGACATACATAAGGCATACATTTTCTATTGACAGTCATAGTTCATCACACAGAGCTGCAGTAAAACTATCATGGGGGAGGAGGATGGGAGAGAAAGGAAGAGTTATTACCCAGAGGTTTTACTCACAGGCTGGTGAAACATTCTGAAACTGTTTGTTCAACTTCTTAAATATGTTTTTCATAATCACTTT